GTCTTCCTCAATTTCTTTCAGAAGTGTTATAGAGTTTTTAGGGTATAGATCCTTTACCTCTTTGGTTAGGTTTATTCCTAGGTATCTTATGCTTTTGGGTGCAATTGTAAATGGGATTGACTCCTTAATTTCTCTTTCTTCAGTCTCATTGTTAGTGTATAGAAATGCCATTGATTTCTGGGCATTGATTTTATATCCTGCCATGCTGCCAAATTGCTGTATGTGTTCTAGCAATCTTGGGGTAGAGGCTTTTGGGTTTTCTATGTAGAGTATCATGTCATTGGCGAAGAGGGAGAGTTTGACTTCTTCTTTGCCTATTTGAATGCCTTTAATGTCTTTTTGTTGTCTGATTGCTGAGGCTAGGACTTCCAATACTATGTTGAATAGCAGTGGTGAGAGTGGACATCCCTGTCTTGTTCCTGATCTTAGGGGAAAGGCCCCCAGTGCTTCCCCATTGAGAATGATATTTGCTGTGGGCTTTTTGTAGATGGCTTTTAAGATGTCGAGGAATGTTCCCTCTATCCCTACACTCTGTAGAGTTTTGATCAGGAATGGATGCTGTATTTTGTCAAATGCTTTCTCTGCATCTAATGAGAGGATCATATGGTTCTTGGTTTTTCTCTTGCTGATATGATGAATCACATTGATTGTTTTATGAGCGTTGAAGCAGCCTTGTGTCCCGGGGATAAATCCTACTTGGTCATGGTGAATAATTTTCTTAATGTACCATTGGATCCTATTGGCTAGTATCTTGTTGAGAATTTTTGCATCCATGTTCATCAGGGATATTGGTCTGTAATTCTCCTTTTTGGTGGGGTCTTTGTCTGGTTTTGGAATTAAGGTGATGCTGGCCTCATAGAACCAATTTGGAAGTACTCCATCTCTTTCTATCTTTCCAAACAGCTTTAGTAGAATAGGTATGATTTCTTCTTTAAACGTTTGATAGAATTCCCCTGGGAAGTCATCTGGCCCTGGACTCTTGTGTCTTGGGAGGTTTTTGATGACTGCTTCAATTTCCTCCCTGGTTATTGGCCTGTTCATGTTTTCTATTTCTTCCCGTTCTAGTTTTGGTAGTTTGTGGCTTTCCAGGAATGCGTCCATTTCTTCTAGATTGCCTAATTTATTGGCGTATAGCTGTTCATAATATGTTTTTAAAATCGTTTGTATTTCCTTGGTGTTGGTAGTGATCTCTCCTTTCTCATTCATGATTTTATTAATTTGAGTCTTCTCTCTCTTCTTTTTAATAAGGCTGGCTAATGGTTTATCTATCTTATTAATTCTTTCAAAAAACCAACTCCTGGTTCTGTTGCTCTGTTCCACAGTTCTTCTGGTCTCGATTTCGTTGAGTTCTGCTCGAATTTTAATTAACTCTCTTCTTCTGCTGGGTGTAGGGTCCATTTGCTGTTTTTTCTCTAGCTCCTTTATGTGTAAGGTTAGCTTTTGTATTTGAGTTCTTTCCAGTTTTTGAATGGATGCTTGTATTGTGATGTATTTCCCCCCTCAGGACTGCTTTTGCTGCCTCCCAAAGATTTTGAACAGTTGTATCTTCATTCTCATTAGTTTCCATGAATCTTTTTAATTCTTCCTTAATTTCCTGGTTGACCCTTTCATCTTTTAGCATGATGGTCCTTAACCTCCACGTGTTTGAGGTCCTTCCAAACTTCTTGTTGTGATTTAGTTCTAATTTCAAGGCATTATGGTCTGAGAATATGCAGGGGACGATCCCAATCTTTTGGTATCGGTTCAGACCCGATTTGTGACCCAGTATGTGGTCTATTCTGGAGAAAGTTCCATGTGCACTTGAGAAGAATGTGTATTCAGTTGAGTTTGGATGTAAAGTTCTGTAGATATCTGTGAAATCTATCTGGTCCAGTGTATCATTTAAAGCTCTCGTTTCTTTGGAGATGTTGTGCTTAGAAGACCTATCGAGGGTAGAAAGAGCTAGATTGAAGTCACCAAGTATAAGTGTATTATTATCTAAGTATTTCTTCACTTTGGTTATTAATTGGTTTAAATATTTGGCAGCTCCCACATTCGGGGCATATATATTGAGGATTGTTAAGTCCTCTTGTTGGATAGATCCTTTAAGTATGAGATAGTTCCCTCTTCATCTCTCACTATAGTCTTCGGGGTAAATTTTAGTTTATCTGATATAAGGATGGCTACCCCTGCTTTCTTTTGAGGACCATTTAAATGGTAAATGGTTCTCCAACCTTTTATTTTCAGGTTGTAGGTGTCCTTCTGTCTAAAATGAGTCTCTTGTAGACAGCAAATAGATGGGTCCTGCTTTTTTATCCAGTCTGAAACCCTGCGCCTTTTGATGGGGTCATTAAGCCCGTTCACGTTCAGAGTTACTATTGACAGATATGAGTTTAGTGTCATCATGATATCTATTCAGTCCTTGTTTTTGTGGATTGTTCCACTGAACTTCTTCTTAAAGGGGAATTTTAAGAGTCCCCCTTAAAATTTCTTGCAGAGCTGGTTTGGAGGTCACATATTCTTTCAGTTCCTGCCTGTCTTGGAAGCTCTTTATCTCTCCTTCCATTTTGAATGAGAGCCTTGCTGGATAAAGTATTCTTGGTTGCATGTTCTTCTCATTTAGGACCCTGAATATATCCTGCCAGCCCTTCCTGGCCTGCCACGTCTCTGTGGAGAGGTCTGCTGTTACCCTAGTACTCCTCCCCATAAAAGTCAGGGATTTCTTGTCTCTTGAAGCTTTAAGGATCTTCTCTTTACCTTTGGAATTTGCAAGCTTCACTATTAAATGTCGAGGTGTTGAACGGTTTTTATTGATTTTAGGGGGGGATCTCTCTATTTCCTGGATCTGAATGCCTGTTTCCCTTCCCAGATTAGGAAAGTTTTCAGCTAGGATTTGTTCAAATACATATTCTGGCCCTCTGTCCCTTTCGGCGCCCTCGGGAACCCCAATTAAACGTAGGTTTTTCTTCCTCAGGCTGTCGTTTATTTCCCTTAATCTGTCTTCATGGTCTTTTAATTGTCTGTCTCTTTTTTCCTCAGTTTCCCTCTTTGCCATCAACTTGTCTTCTATGTCACTCACTCGTTCTTCCACCTCGTTAACCCTCATCGTTAGGACTTCTAGTTTGGATTGCATCTCATTCAATTGATTTTTAATTTCTGCCTGATTGGATCTAAATTCTGCAGTCATGAAGTCTCGTGAGTCCTTAATGCTTTTTTCTAGAGCCACCAGTAGCTGTATAATAGTGCTTCTGAATTGGCTTTCTGACATTGAATTGTAATCCAGATTTTGTAACTCTGTGGGAGAGAGGACTGTTTCTGATTCTTTCTTTTGAGGTGAGGTTTTCCTTCTAGTCAGTGCAGAGTGGCCAAAAACAAGTTGTATTGGGAAAAGGAGAAAGAGAGAGAAGGGAAGAAAAGAGAAAAAGAAAAAAAGAAAAAAGAGAAGAAAAAGAGAAAAAGAAAGAAAGTTGAAAAAAAGGGGCGGGGGAAGCAATCAGAAATCAAAAAGAAGAAAACAAAAACAAAAACAAAAAACACGGGTTTGTATCTTCTGATTCTGTATACTTTAAGTCCCTTGACTTCCCCTGGAACTGGTCCCTCTAGCTGGTCTTCTGGGGGGGGGGCCTGCTGTGCTGATTTTCAGGTGTTAGCACTTGGGGGAGCTGCTCAGCCCCTGCCTGCTGCAGGGCTCAGCGGGGGTTGTTTACCCCGTGAGGCCCCAGGAGGAACAGCAGCAGTTGCTATGGCAGCTCTGGAAACCTGGATTCAGTCCCCGCAGTAACTACGGAGCTCTCTGTCTGCAGGGCCTGGAGGCTCCGGGGCGGGGCCGCTGATCTGCTCAGCTCGGGGCAGGAGCGTCCTTGCTGTCCTGGGCCCTCCCGGCCTCTGCCTGTCCCGGGGGAGGCCGGATCCTGGGCTGTGTCCCGGCGCCCTGTGCTCCAGGGCCTGCGCTGTTGGATTTGCGCTCCCGCCCCGCAGCCCCCTCCGCGGAGCCGCGCCCGAGATGAGGGCTGTTCCTGATACAATAGAGGCAACACTATTCCTTTTGTGTCCTCTTGAGAGCACTTGTCAGGGAGGATGACATTCGCTCCAAGTACAATTTCGAATCCATCCTACTACAGTCATTTATGGACGCTGATCATTATTAATATGCTAAGGTAGTATTAATACTGATATTAATAATACTGATAACATCTTATGGTTAGTACCAATAACTTCCCATTGAACATCCTTGAAATAACTGTTAATAAGAAAATGTAGTAACAGCAACAGTATTTACCGAGCTCTTGCTAAATGCGAGGGGTGTAGTTGGTGCTTTACATGGTTGAGCTCATTTGACTCTCATACCCCAGGACAGGGAAAGCATGGTGAAAATCTGCTTTTAAAGATGAGGAAACTCTGTGAAGGTATTGGTTCGTTAAGTAATTGAGCCAAAGTCACAGGAAATGAGGCACCATTCTGGCTCCACTGTGTTTTACTGCCTGCAACTTTCTGTTCCCTACAAATACCATAGCACCTCAACTCTTTGGGACTCAACTTTGAGCAAAGCGGAGGACGTGGAAGCAAGAGAAACCATTTCTGTAATTAAAAAAGAAGCCACGTTCTCTGTAAGAGTACACATCCCCTTCCAGCACCACCCGACTGCGCACTGTCTCGGGTCTCGGGCATAGAGCCTGGACCCTGAGGATTGTAGTATACCCCTGTGCTTCCACGTTATTGATAAAGTGAAATGAATTTTAATTTCATTAGAAATTGAAAGCAGAAATGGAATGATTTGGGGGCACCTGGATGGCATCTGCTTTCAGCTCAGCTCATGATCCCCCGGGTCCTGGGATAGAGCCCCATGGTGGGCTCTCTGTTCAGCGGGGAGTCTGCTTCTCCCTCTTCCTCTGTCCCTCCCCCATCTTGTTCTCTCTCTCAATCTCTCCCTCTCAAATAAAATCTAAAAAAAAAAAAGAAGGTAAAGTTTGAGTGTAAAATAAGTTCCGTTTTTTTCTGTCTTGTTTTCATTTTTCCTCTAGATCACTCTTTCGATGTCTTCAAAAAACCTAAGCATCCCCCAGCGTTCTTTGCTGCAGGCCGGCTCTCTGATGTGCTGAATGGTGGCGATGAAGTTTACGCCAACTGTATGGTGATTGACCAGGTAAGGCATGACTGGTGGCTTCAGAGCCACCTTGCTCTCTTTCCAAAACCTGAGTATGAAAAATAAAGAAATAAATAAATAAAAATTAAAAAAAAAAACAAAAAGAAAACCTGAGTATGTGGGAACTATATTCGGCATCGGTGTGTCGCTCTGAGAATTTCAGCCTAAGGGAGGCCCTGGTGATGCTTCACTGTAGCCTCTTAGGACCCTTTCCCTGAGATCTCCTTATCGTGCACAGCACGTGTTACCCCACCAAGAAGAGCTGGAGGGAGGGGTCTTGAGACCATGTCTCATGAGAAGAGCATGGGAGGTCTTGCTTGGAGCTGAAATAGAAAATGACAGTTGGGAAACTAATATCTTCTCTACAACTTTTCAATAAAACGGTGTGCATACCACGTGATTAGGTAATATTTGTATTCAAATTCAGCTAACGGGATAAAGAGCTTGATGCCAGCCCCACATAATGCTGTCGTATAAATTGCTCCTTCGATCCTTGTAACATACCTATTAGCATATAGTAAGGTCATAGAGCTTTAGTATTAAAAGAATGTTGTCATCCGACAGGGAATTGGAGCCCTTTAGAACACCCCACTAGTCTCTGACGGAGATTTGGGGGTTAGGTCTTGTAGAGGCTTGCAGTTTGCCTGTGCATTGGTATGTAGATTGATCCTTCATTTTCTCTAGCTCAGTGATCCTCAAGTTTTAATACTTATAAAAAAATAAAACATATCTTTAGATATAAAGATTTCTATACTCTGGATGCTAGTTTATGTATGATTTTAGGGATTTTCAAGGGCAGTTTTGGCAAAACAAAATTTTTGCCTTATCCACAGACTTCCAACCCTAATCCCCATTTAAGACGCACCGTATATATGCTTATTGAGCAATAAATTTACTCTTTTTGTTGTTGTTAGTATGCACATATTGTACCCTGTTACTTATAGACATTTTCTGTGATAGAAACTTTACTATCTGGGTCTCACTGTCACCCCTTGAGTCACAAATCTTGGTTTTCCCTTTTGTGTTCAAAACATTATTACATCAAATGTATGTATACATGGCATGGATTGGGATGATAATCAGAATGATAGAGGGACCAATCAGAATGGATGTCAGCTGTAAAGAACTCGTATAGCCTTTTTGGCATAAAGCAGCTGAATGTTAGCTCTACTTATGCATATATTTTTAAAGATTTTATTTATTTATCCATGAGAGACAGAGAGATTGGCAGAGACACAGGCAGAGGGAGAAGCAGGCTCCATGCAGGGAGCCCGATGCGGGACTCAATCCCAGGACCCCGGGGTCACGCCCTGGGCCAAAGGCAGATGCTTAACCTTGGAGCCACCCAGGCAACCCAGCCCTACTTATAGATACAAGCATGAAGCAGAGGTTAGGATGAGTTGTGAGTTCTGGGGACATTCTTTGCAGATACAGGGCCGTCAAGTTTGCTGTGCTCTAGCCACACTGATTCCAACGGTTGCTGTATTTTCTCAGTGTTTAAATGAAATACTCCTTGAGTCCTTATCTCTTTTCTCTGAGCCTCAGTGAATACTGCAGGTATTTCCACTTACCCCAAGTAGCTAAAATTGTACATGACTCAGTGTTACGGGGGGATAACTGTGCTCTAAGATGCATTAAACATGCAAGACCTCCCCACCCAAAGATGAAGTTAGAATACAATTTCTGTTTTAGGACCATCTTGAGATAAGTATTGCTTTAATAAAGTGAAGCATGCATTTCAAGAAAGCTTGAACAGCCTGATTGATAAATTGAAATGTAGCAGAGGATTGCTGAATTTGTGCAATGAAAACAGAAATAAGACGAAAAGTATGGATACAAATCACAGAGTTCAGTGTCCGTGTAGTGTAGTTACAGGATTTATAGGATTTATTTTACTGTTCCTGTGTCCACTTGAGTAGCAAGGATGATATAAGGAGCTCAAATTCTGCACACTTAAGATAATTGCTATCAGTATTTGAGAAGAATCTTGTCTAATTTCCTTCTTCTGCCTCAACCTGGCACAGAACTCTGAAAAGATGGCTAGCTTGTTTGAGATACTGTTTCCCATGAATCCTCAAAGTTTTCAGCCCACCTAATGAGGAGATATACATGGTAGAAACTGCTTTGAAAATGCCTCTGCCATATAAATTACTTTGAAAAAAAATTCCATTTTATTTGGACATCATTTCAAGCCTCTATAATTCAGTACAAAGAATACATACATACTCTTTATCAAAATTCCTCAAATGTTAATATTTTACTATATTTTAGCTTAAATACACTCTGGGTAAGTATGTCTTTGTATATGCAAATGTTGAAAATAATAAGTATATAAATATTAACCATTTCAAGCACATTGAGAATTTGGTGCCCTTCTATACCTCAGTCTTTCCTGGTATATTTCCTAAAAAACCTTCGTCATCCTCTTATTAAGCACCCGTAGTTACCAAATCAGACAATCACCATTAATAGAGTAGTAACCCTTTGCAGACCACACTCAATTTTAGCCAATCATCCCAATAATTTTTGCAGCAAAAGAAAATCCAGTTGTCTCATCTCTTGAATCTGTTATAATTCGTGACGGTCCCTTAGTATTTGGCTCTTAGGGCGTCAACAGTTTTGAAGAATACAGAGCAGGATTGTGTGTGTTTTTGTCAGAATGTCCTTCAGTTCTGGGTCGTCTGAGAATTCCCCATGGGCCGGGTTCAGGCTGTCAGGTTAGCAGGAACATTACAGAAGGGAGGCTGTGTCCTCAGTGCCTTGTATCACGAGGCACCTGGAACTAATTTGTCCCCTTCCTGGGGATGTTATCTTTGATTTATTAAGTTTGTTTGCAGTGAAATTGCTACCTCCTTTTTCAAGTAGTGTCTGGAGGGGGGAAGAGTTTGAGTGTCTGTGTGTTTCCTGTTGCTTAGCCGACTCTCACCCACCGGTTGGGCATTCCTTGATTGTTTCTGCATAGTGAGTTCTGATGATGATGAAGATTTAGGGCTCTACATTTTCCCCTTTTGCCTCTTTCCCCCCTTTGCTGCCCTCTCACCAGACAGCGTCTTCCTTGTTCTTATTACTGTCTTCTCCCTCAGCAGTGATGCCTGTGATGGTTGCTCCTCAGGTCACTCATACTTTCAAGCCCTTTCCTTAGGTCGAGGACTCTCTTTCACATGTGTAGGCTGCACTTCCTCTTCCCAGTGATGACATTAGGTAGGTCTTCATCCCTCTATTAGCTCCCGGTTTTCTCTGCCATGTAGAACTTTCCAGACCACTTTTATTCTATACACAGGCCTGTGACAGGAATATAACAGGTTGCTTCCTGAAGTTTGGTGTTAATTTTATTATTTTATATTATAAAATTCATGATTTTTTCATCTACAGATAATTTGAAGTTTGGGGCATTCTGTGTCTTCTAGTTAAGTGTCATCTTAGGTAGTTTTATTCTTACTTTATTTGTAGTTTGTTTTGTTTTGGCTTTTTTGAGACTCAGGTTTATGTGGCTACCACTACCTTGGTTATCCAGATTCCTGTGAGTTACTTTCTAAATAAACCTGCCTACTCTTTGGTTTTTTTTTTGCTCATGTTATTTTATTTTATTTTATTTTATTTTATTTTATTTATTTTATTTTTATAAATTTATTTTTATTGGTGTTCAATTTCCAACATATAGAATAACACCCAGTGCTCATCCCATCAAGTGCCCTCGTCAGTGCCCGTCACCCATTCACCCCCACCCCCCGCCCACCTCCCCTTCTACCATCCCTAGTTCGTTTCCCAGAGTTAGGAGTCTCTCATGGTCTGTCTCCCTTTCTGATATTTCCCACTCATTTTTCTCCTTTCCCCTTTATTCCCTTTCACTATTTTTTATATTCCCCAAATGAATGAGACCATATGATCATTGTCCTTCTCCAATTGACTTATTTCACTCAGCATAATACCCTCCAGGTCCATCCACATCGAAGCAAATGGTGGGTATTTGCTGTTTCTAATGGCTGAGAAATATTCCATTGTATACATGCTCATGTTTTTAAAATACATCCCCTTTTTTGAGTCAGTGGCTCACAAAATCTTAAAAATGTAGTCTGGTTTGGGTTTCGTAGTAAAGAACAACTTTATAAAACACTCCACTGGTCATCTTTTATGAATTATGGGACAGCAGCCAAATGAACACAAACGTCATGTAAGAATTCCCCGCTTACATAAAGCAAAACAAGAACGAACAAAACAAGGTAAATAAGGTGGAAGGTTGTTCAACGGGGAGAAATTTATTCTCAGTTCAGCCAATCTTTCCTGCTCGTTTGCTCAGCAAATATTTTTCTTTCAACTACCAGGTTGGTGATTTGGATATTAACTACATCAATTTAGAAGGAATCTCTACAGACGCCTGTGCTGAATCCATGGGTTCTACTCTGGGGCCTCAGAACTGCGAGCATATCCTTGCTGCTGAAACCAGCCATGGGAAATACCCACTAAGTGAGAACAAGGAAGTGATCTCAGATACCGAAGCTCAGCAGTCCTTCCCATCACCGTCTAGTTCATATGCTTCCAATTTTGATCTTTCCTTTGGTCTTCATGGATTTGAGAAGGAACAGAGTCTCCTGAAGAAAAGAAGGTAAGGTATTATATTCTGGAGGAGAAGTGTAGAAGATCAAAGAACCTTGTCCGCGAGCTGGACTTGCAAAATTCTATTTGTCGTCCCTGCCACTGTTATCTCTACATCAAAAACATTGCCCCCTTTTAGATTCCTACAATCTTTGGCTTGAAAATAAGACATTTATGAAAACTGACCAAAATAGAATAAGAGGAAAACCACTACGGGAGTACATTTTACACTTGCTAGGTAGGCAAAAATTTTAAAGTTACCATATTTTAGTGAAAATGTATACAGTGGAAGCACTTGTATACTGTTGATCGAGTGAACATTGTGTAAGAACTTTGGAAAATAATTTGGCATTCTCTAATAGAGATGTGCTGTCTCCTCTGAAAAAATGTAGGAATGAGGACGAAGGACTTACGATCCCCAAGAAAGTCCCATTTTGGCCCCAGGACGGCAGGGGGACTCTTCCTTCAGTGGGTGGTGGGCCAGGAGCGTGTAACACGGTTGACTGTGAGCTCAATGGGAAATGTACCTATCGCATTAAAAAGTGAATAATAGGCTGCATTCAGGCTGAAAACTTATCATGAAGGAGAGACTTGGGAGCACGCAATAAAAACTGAGGTGAACACAGACACCTAAGCCCTAAATTTTCTAATACTTAAAACATTATGGTGAAAGTAAAATATGTACAAAGGTAACCGTCTGTTACCAAAACTTAGCTGTTTTGAGAAGCCACAAGGGGAAAAATAATGCAATGTTTAAACTGCACAACAACAACAAATGAGGTGATGGAAGAGCTTGTTTCATTCTAAAACTTAAATTTTGAAGATCTTTTTTGTTTTACCAACATCCGCAGTAAGAAATGCCTATTACACAACGACTCCCTGCCACATAAATACACAGGAATTTAAATGGATGTTTTATGAAATAACATGGGGAATGTACTCTGATATTTTCTATTCTGTACTATTTTAAAAGAAAGTTTTGGTCACAGCCTACAATTGATTTCATATATTTCACTAATGGGATTTTGAAAAATGGTATTGTAAAATGAGAACTGAGAAGTAATCCTGAAGAATATGGTTTATGATACCAAATTGCTTAATAGCTTAAGGAGGACAGGTAGTAGCCCAATTTAAATCAATACGAAAAGAAAATGTTTTAGGGGCTCCTGGCTGGCTCATTTGGTCGAGCATGTGACTTTTGATCTCAGGTTGTGCGTTCGAGTCCCCTGTTGGGTGTAGAGATTGCTTAAAAATAAAATCTTAAAAAAAAAAAGAAATGTTTTATTGGATGGTGTGCAGAATAAAATAAAGATCACTACTACTTGTAGCATGTGCTCACAGTGATGGAGAAATGCTATACATGGCTGAAAGTCTCCTGTTAAGTTAGGATATGATGACGGCAGCCAACCATTTGGACTAATGTTTATTAACACAGAGATCACAAGTTAAAAGATGAATGCAGAGACCCAAGGTGTATCAGCAAACCTCTGATCCCCACCCGCATCCCCCAAGGGGTCTGGCTACACAAAGACTATGATCGAATTAAGGAAACTACAGAGCACCTTAGAATGTCTCCAACCACGTCGCTGTCACATTCAGAGCAGCGGCATTTGCCAGGAAGTGTGTCTTCACACGAAGCTCTGATTTTTTTTCTTTTTAATGAGAAATAATTTCATGGATTTCAACATTTGTGTGTTAAAGTGTGATGTCTGCCTTCAGCTTGTTCTCTGCTTGGAGCCAAGGAGCAGTCTCTCTATGGGTTCTGAAAGGAGAAGGACCCTGCTTTGGAGATCCTCAGTGATGCCAGGTGTGGCCTTCACTTCTGGGCTGGCTGGTGCCCAAGAGGGCCCATGCGATAAGGAGTTCAGGATGAGAGAGTGTACCCTGAGTGTTGGGACTGGGGACACATATGGTAGAGACTCTGTGGCAAACGTCGTCATTTATTACATTGATACTCGGCGGGCACCGAAGACCTTATGGACTTTTAAGAAAAAGAACCACAATGGGTTAATTCAATTTCATTTTCTGCTTCCTTTTTCATAATCAAGATGGTTTCATTGTGTTGCTAGTAATCTTTAACTCCAGAACTGCAACCGTGAAAGAAAAACGCATTGAGTGTTAACATGCTGGGGGAAGCTCTTGACCTCAGAGTTGGAGGGGCTTAAAATGTAAATGTTAATGGAATGAGCCGGGAATGGGGAAGATCACTTTCTTTCCTTTCAATTTCATGGTTATTAGAGTTAAATTAGGAGAGAAAAGTGGTAGTTGAGCAGAACCGCTCCCCATTTCTGAGGCGGATTGCTCACCTAAAATCTCTAAACATGCTAACCTGACGTGACACATGTGGGACCCCAGTTGACTCAGGTTGACTCCTGTCTTGCCATCCCTCTGAGGTGAGACCTTGCCTTCTGTCCTTGAATGTGCCTCACTGGCCACGCTGCAGATCTTCCTGCGCCGCCCCCCCAGAGGCCTCCCAAACAACCCTGCGGTTCTGTTTCTTGCGCAATTTTCATATTTGAAGGATAACTATTTAGGGCCTGTGATAATTACATTTACAAAACAAATAGTACTAACTTGTGCCAGGTTTTGTTTCTTAGAGTAATTGAGATGGCTTTTGCTAGGTGGGAGATGTTCGGCTGGGGAGACAAAACATTTTATTTAAAAAGAGGGAGACTTGGGGAGAAAAAAAGTGAAAATCTCTTAGATGTGAATTTTTTTTAGAAATTTTTTTTTACTCATTTTAAATGAGTATCCATTGCACCCTTCTGCCAAAGACAGGGTTTGTTTGTTTGTTTTTTTAATAAATTTATTTTTTATTGGTGTTCAATTTGTCAACATACAGAAGGACAGGATTTGAATTGAGAGAAACAGAAGCCAGAACTAAGCCAGTTGGCTGACTTGATTATTTACTTACTTCCTCCGTGTCTTAGCTCCAGCCTGGATGCCTTGGATGCCGACAGCGAAGGGGAAGGGCATTCTGAGCGGTCACACATCTGCTACACGCCAGCGTCTCAGAGTTCCTCGAGGACTGGCATTCCCAGTGGGGATGAGCTGGACTCCTTCGAGACCGCCACCGAACCTGATTTTAGTATCTCCAGGACAGAGTCACTTTCTTTATCAAGTAGCCTGCAGTTGAAGGTATTCTTATTAGTATTAATGTGGTTTATTGTGAGCATAAAAGCTATGTTATCTAAAGCAGGTCATCTCTATCCAAAGGGCAACTCATGTTTCAGTCACGTGTGTGAACTAGTATTTTTTTTTGGGGGGGGGGAGACTCAGGAGCTGTCTGATTGTCTTTTTAATCTCTCCCACTCTGTTTAAAATATATGGTCCTTAGAATGGCTGGTTTATGTTTTATTAATTCATCATCAGCACATCTTTCACATACTCTGAAATTTTTACTGTTCTATATAATGATTTCTGTCGGCATCCCTTAAGCAAAGGGAGAAAAACTGGCAGTATGGAGCGGGTTTAAGCGGTCAGACTTGTTTTGTTCACGTACATTTTTACTTGGCTCAGGTCATGAGGTAAATTAAATAATATTACAAAGGCATAGGTGTCATTTGTTGAGCATTCCTGGCTGCCCGAACTGATGTGAGACAGTAGAAACTTTGTCAGTTTTTCTATAGGAGAGGACATTTCTCCTATAGGCATTTTCACATTGAAATTTTTGGTTTTTTTGTTTGTTTGTTTGTTTGTTTGTTTGTTTTTAAAGAACGAACTCTTTCAACCTTGCAGACAAAGCCTTTTTGGGTTGGTACATGTGTTTTCTTCCTTTTTGATTTCTCTTGTCCACTCGTTTTCTTTTGAAAATGAGTTTACCCCTGTGAAACAATGTGTGCTGTGCCCAGACTTCTCTTACTGTGAACATCTGATGGTCATGATAATGTTTTATTTTTGTAATATCCTTTGCAGTACACAAGACGTGAGTTACATACGAAATGCATGGTTTTCTCTTACCTAGGATGTTAGTACCATTTTAATCTTCCAGCAAATGAGGCCCTGCAGAGCTTAGACATCTTGTCCAGGTTGCCCACCCTTGGTGATAGATTCAGTATCACCAGGCCTTCTACTGAAGCCTACCCCTCAGCTCTGAGGGCTGTAGAGTGGTCATGGTCTTTGGAACCTGAATGTCACATGCCCTTTCTGGATCCTAGAATATGGGTATGGTTGTTAGTGTAGATAGTTCTTTTGCATTTTGAATGGAATTGTGAAAAAGTTCATTACTTGGAAGGAAAAGCAGTTTAGCCTTTGTGAGTCAGGTGCATGTGGTTCACTTTGAGGAAGACTCCGTCCTCTAAAATATATCTTGCCTTGCCTCTGCGATTACCCCATGTAACTTTTTCCCAAAGAGTTCTGGCTAATTTTCAAAGTTCCATGGTTATGAAAAAGAAGTACTATACATGATTTAAATGCAGAGGGTGACATTTGGCTCTGGCCCTTTGGGCCTCGTCACCGTTACGGGTATAGGGCAGCTCCTGGTGTCCGATGTCAAGAATCAGTGGGCCCTCCCCAGTAAGACACTCAGGAGCCAAGGCCCAGGACCCTTTGAAACAGGGGCAGGCTTCTGTTTTTAACTCTGCTGCAGGCCTGTTAACTAAACCAATGGGCTTAGGGAAACAATGTTTTCACTGAGGGAGAATAGAAGCTACTAGTGCTTGTGAAGGACAGTTGCTGATGGCTTAATTTGAATTACAGATTTTGTATTACTCTATCTTAACTCTGATATTTTAAGACCAGATGAGCGAGATTAATCCTAAAGCCACCAGGTCCCTGTTGGATGAGGGTCGGGTACCATAAACGGCTTTACTGGTGTTCTGTTGCACGCTCATTTAAATTTTCCAGAACACATAAAATAACCATGTTTTAATTATTGTGCTGCATTGTCACGTATGTTGCAAATATAATAATAGAAATAGTGTGTAAATGGGAAAATAGCAACAATAGGTCACTTAAAAGACAGTAAAAGATACATAAATCAGTGATACTCAGGTATCATCTCAGGAAGTGCTAGATGGAAGGCTTTTTTTGAAAGATGGGCACAGACCAGGAGGAATTGTACATTGACCTGTTGCATTCTTCTTGAGAGGCTGCAGCTAACATTATAAATTCAAATAGCTGTCTTGAAGTTAAAAAAAACTCCTATAAGTGGCTATTTGTCTACCTTCTAATAATTATGAAATAAAAAGATAACAATTAATATGGAATTTTGCTTGGATAGTACAGTGTAAAATAACAACAACAACAACAACAACAACAAAACCCTGACAACTCAGGTGAAAAAAAAGTGACTCTATTGAATATGCAGAGCAAAAACATCTTTTGACTTTATTTCTTACTTTTAACCAACTCTATTAGAAGGTCATAATCACATTTTAAGTATAAATGGGCGGGAAGCTCAAGTTTACTGAAGTGTTGAAAAGGCATAAAACTTCAAAACTTGTGATGAACAAAAACAAATAATGAGATTACATCAGAAATATTCACACTGAATCTTTACAGAGATGCTGATTCCATAACAATCACGGTGAGCATATACTTTCAGGTCCTCTGTAGAATTTTTCAAAAACCTTTGTTATCATTTCTTGTAGGAATCATTGCTTCCTGGAGTCCGCTCACGTTCTTATTCCTGCTCATCACCCAAAATTTCTTTAGGAAAAACTCGATTGGTGCGTGATTTCACAGTGTGCAATTCTGCTGAAGGTAAGCGTTCTTTACCATTTGACTTTGAGAGAATTCTATTCCAGAGCAGATTCTCAATTAGTGAAAGTATATAAGATGCACAAAAGCAGCAGGCAAGAATTTTCAGCTCCATTTTTATTACTGATTTTTCTGTACTTAGCAAAATCCTTTTCTCATATTAGTCAAGTATTAGATTTCATTTTGATGAAAATACAAATAGGTACAAAGTTGTTGCTTTATTCTTTGAATGAAATGTTTTCCTCAAGGATAATGTAAACTAGAATTTATTCTAGGTTCTTTATTATGAGAGCTTTAGAGGATTATACGTAATTTTTTAAAAAAAATACTTTGCCCTATGTATAAATTGCTGAAATCTAACTAAAAGGCAAAGCATTTCAAAATAGATTTTTCCCTTTTTGTATTCAGCAAGGGACTTGAGAGAGTTGCAGTAAAAGAAAAGAGTTGAAACATTAGTAAACCTATCTCAGCATTCTTTATGGCAATGTAAATGATCAAAATGAAACTGTGATACAGTAAAATTTTAATTGATCACCTTCAGAAAAGGGTGCACACCATAAACATACAGCTTGACAAGTTTTCAAAACTGAATTCAAATAAAAAAAAAGAATAATTATGGACCACACAGAGGAGCTGCCCTTGTAGCCCCTTTCGGCCACAACTCCCCCACCACCACTGTTTTTTTTTTTAAAAGATTTTATTTATTTATTCATGAAACACACAGAGTGAGAGACAGAGACATAGGCAGAGGGAGAAGCAGGCTCCATGCAGGGAGCCCGACGTGGGACTCGATCCCGGGACTCCAGGATCCCGCCCTGGGCTGAAGGCAGATGCACAACCACTGAGCCACCCAGGGATCCCCACGACTCCCATTTTTTACCCTATTTTGAAACAAAAGTATTTCTTTACATAACATATTATGTAGTAATTACATATAAAGGCATATTTGGTGGAATTCATGTCAACCTGTGATACAAAGCATTAGAATAAAATGTCAGTATCTTAATGCCTCATTTGTATATTACCCTTAAAGGTCTTAAGAGACTCGAAAAGTGAGATGTGCCTGAGTATTCTTAGTTTCCCATTGTAAAATATTGTTTTAAAAAATATTTTATTTAAATTCAATTTGCCCATATATAGTATAATGACCGGTGTCCCTGTTGTAGAATATTTAAAATAGAATTTATTTCACAAGTGTCTTTCTCTTCTTTTTTACGTATTCTTTATTACATTGTTGTTGTTGACATCTTCATGCCATGTAAAAACATACTCTTTATGGTTGGAACTGCCATTCTAAAACAATGACTTACATGTGGGAGATGTTCAATGATTATTTGTTGAATGAATGTACTAGACAGGATACATAGAGCACACAACAAGTGCTCGGTGTTTTTTTGTGTTTTTGTTTTTTTCATCTTTCTGGGAATCATTACTGAAAGTGGAGAAAACAAGACTGATGACAAATGTCAGTTTTAATATTTGGAATGAGAAGATGGAGAAAAGGACCAAGAGAAAGAGAAGATACAGCCACCTTGAGAGGACAGGAAAAAGATGGGTTGTAATGATCGTATAATATTTATAATAGGTTGGGATTCCTTTTATTTTTTTGAGAATATTCAGATCTCTTCCAGACCATTATTTTAAAAGATTTTATTTATTCATGAGCGACAGAGAGAGAGAGAGAGAGAGAGACAGAGACAGGCAGAGGGAGAAGCAGGCTCCATGCAGGGAGCCCGACGTGGGACTCCATCCCCGGTCTCCAGGACCACGCCCTGGGCTGAAGGCAGTGCTAAACCGCTGAGCCACCCGGGCTGGCCTTGGGATTCCTTTTAATGAGAGGTTGACATGTTTTCACTGAAGGTTCTAGCTGGAGAACTAACTTCATACTGTAACTATATAGAAAATGCTTCTAAGTCTTTATTTTGTGCAAAATGGCAGCTGTGCCATTACATCTATAGTATGACTTTTTAAAAAAATATTTTATTTATTAATGAGAAACACAAAGAGGAGAGAGACGGAGGCAGAGACACAGGCAGAGGGAGAAGCAGGCTCCATGCAGGGAGCCTGACATAGGACTCGATCTTGGAACCCAATCCTGGGACCCAATCCCGGGACCACAGGGTCACGCCCTGGGCTGAAGACGGCACTAAACCACTGAGCCACACCAGGCTGCCCAGTATGACTGTTTTTTTTTATTTAAGATTTTATTTATTTATTAATGAGAGAGAGACACACACACACACACAGGCAGAGGAAGAAGCAGGCTCCATGCAGGGAGCCCAACGTGGGACTTGATCCCAGGTTTCCAGGATCACACCCTGGGCCCAAGGCAGGTGCTTAACCGCTGAGCCACCCAGGGATCCCCTAAGACAGCATACAGAGAGCCTGACGTGGGACTGGATCCAGGGTGTCCAGATCACGCCCTGGGCTGCAGGCGGCACTAAACCGCTGCGCCACCAGGGCTGCCCTATGACTGGTTTTTAAAGTCAGCTGAGAAGTTTGAAGTTGCTGGCCAGACTGAGAGGGAATTGATTGTTTATAAGGGAAAGAAGCCCTGATTTATGAATTCTTTCATGAATCAGGAAGGGCATCTGCCTTACATACAATCCTTAAATATTTGCATGTGAGTTAGAATAGAAATCTGACATCGATTCTTTTTTCGGTTAATAAAATTTTATGCCTTTAGACAGTATATTTAAAACTAGGGCTCTAAAATAAATAAAAATAAATAAATAAAAATAAAAATAAATAAATAAATAACAACAACAAAAAAAAAAAACTAGGGCTCTCTCAATGAAATTTGGTCTCCAGAAGGTAAGAATCACAAACAGGCAATGTAGTTTGAAGCCACATAGTCAATGTATAGGGATTCCAGCAGGTAAACCATAGGTACTTGAAGAATAAATTACTTCTCAAAGAAGAAGGAATGATTTTAACTCCGTGTGTGATCAAAGCACAGGAGTGAAAGCTTGACTAGTTCAAAGACATGATGTTCCACTGTGTAGGTCATTTAGATCAATCAGAGGAAAATTGACATTTACATTACCCCCAAGTTCTCTCTTGATGAGTCTGGAATAGTCCTAAAAATTTTCTCTATTTGGACAGACTCGAGGTCTCGTTTCGCCCCCAGTTGGAAGCCCCTGATGACGAGCTGTACTGTGGATACACAAAGACAGGATAGTGTTTCGGCCCTTGCGATGTTCTTTTTTCATCTTTGTCCCTTCCAAGAGGTTACTCATTATTGGTTCTTATGCTCCTTTTGGGGGCGAAGAGTACAATAGTGAGGCAACCAAATAAGATGCTTGTTTAGACAAAACGAAATCCTATCCTGTAATTCCCTTTGGTACGTGGTGTGTTTAGATAGACAGGAATATTGGCGATAATTATAACCTCACCAGAAAGGACCAAAGCGCTCTACTTTAGAGAATTTGGGGGGTGAAGTGAATGTACTCTTGAAAACAGTCGCGCCCTGTCCGCTGGGCTCCTGTTAGCCTTTGCCAGTGACCGAGCCTGGTCCCATTACTTCATCGGCTTGGTTGTCTGGGACACGTGCGTGGCTCAGCGTCCTGCGGCCTCAGCACGTTTACAACAAGCGTATCGACCTGTGCTTGTGGCTTAGTTTGAGGAGTGTTTCGCGGTGGCAGTAAAATCCTGTAGATGCCCCGGAGCACATCTGTTGTTGTTGTTGCCCACGAGGTAGCAGGAGCCTGAGTCCCGGTAATGACACGGTTTAGGGAGTGTGTGCTTATGAGCTCTGCCCCTGCCTTGTCTGCCACACTGCCCCGTGCAAACTGGCTTCGCCCGTCCGCTCGTGGGGACCGCCCGGGGGACAGAGTCGTGTCTGCGCTGCAGAGCTCCCGGAACGAGCGCCGGGGACACCCCCAGAGCAGCATCCCGCTGACACCATAGGGCTTGTTTTCTCATTATTTCCCAACCAGTGGCGGGAATGGTGGTGAAATACGGTTGGGCGTGTGCGTCAATGCCGAATGTGTGACTGTGTCTTCACTGTCCCATTCTGTGTCTTGCAGAGCAAAGAGCCTTCGGCTTCCTGGAGCCCGCCAGGGAGAGGAGGTACCGTAACCGTCCCGGTCTGGGGCTGCTTGCCGCCTTTGAACAATGTGTGCGCGTGAATTCTGAGAGCTACCGATGGGCCATGGGAGGGTTCCATGCAACGAGCCGCCTGCACACTCGGCCGCCCCTGCGGGTCCCCACACGCGCAGGCCTCAGGCCTGGGGGCCCGGCAGCAGGGTGTTCCCAGGGCAGTTCCAGAGATAGGCACCTCCGGGTGCACCGATCGGGGGTCGCGGCGCCGCAAGGCCTGGGCTCTCTGCAGGCGTTGCCGGGGCCCGGGGGTCACATGCACAGGTGCCCGCCCTCTGTCGTGGCTCCTCACGGCCTGTTGCGTTGCGAGCCGAGCCTGCTGAGGGAGCTCCCGGCCGAGGAGCCACCCCGAGGCCGCACTGGGAGGCCGCCCAGGGGCCAGCAACGGCATGAGTATTTCGCGTAAAAGGGACCAGTGAGAAAGAGGGAAATGACTTTAACAGGGGGGACAGTAATGCTGAAACTTCGGAACGTTTTAATATATATATCAAGGCAGACCATGCTATTTTAGATTTTAGGGAAAAAAGGGGGTGCCTGGGTGGCTCAGCTGATTAAGTGTCTGACTCTTGACTTCTGCTCAGGTCATGATCTGAGTCCTGTCATTGAGCCCCACATGAGTTTCCACGCTCAGCAGGGGTCTGCTTAAGATCCGCCCCCCCTTCTCGCTACCCTTTCCCCACCCAAAAAAAGAAAGAAATCTTAAAAGTCTCGCTAAGAAAAAGCCTCCATTTGTTCATTCCTATTTTTTTTTTGAGACCAGAATAGAAATTTTCAGATGACACAAGCAGGAAGAGTAGGAATGCCCTTTAATGATAGGATGGTGGTGGAGAGGATGTGGCTGTGATGGGGACGGTGATGACAGCAAACGCAGCAATAACTGACCCACTGGGTGTTTGTACATTTACATCCGGCACAATTTGTTTATTACCTCGTTTAGGCAGTTTACTCAGTCGTGGAATTTGATCTCCCTCTTGGTTATCATTTTGGTTAAGTCTTCTTCTTGTCATCTTTTTAACTAGCAAAGAAGTAATGGACTGATGTAAAGATTTTATTTTTTATTTATTTATTTTTTTAAAGATTTATTTATTTATTCATTCAGAGAGAGAGAGAGAGAGGCAGAGAGGCACAGGAAGAGGGAGAAGCAGGCTCCATGCAGGAAGCCCGACGCGGGACTCGATCCGGGGTCTCCAGGATCACGCCCTGGGCTGCAGGCGGTGCTAAACCTCTGCACCACCAGGGCTGCCCAGATTTTTTATTTTATTTTATTTTTTTATTTTTTAATTTTTTAAATTTTTTTTAAGATTTTATTTATTTATTAATGAGAGAGAGAGAAAGACACACAGGCAGAGGGAGAAGCAGGCTCCATGCAGGGAGCCCAATGTGGGACTCGATCCTGGGTCTCCAGGATCAGGCCCTGGGCTGAAAGCGGCGCTAAACCGCTGAGCCACCTGGGCTGCCCAGATTTTTTTTTTTTCAATAAAAAATATTTATTCTCCATTAGGAGAGGGACTTAAGACTAAAAAAGCCAACGTCATAGTTGGTTAGATATTAATGTGTGAGCTATTTTAACTTGGATGGTACGTGTAGGGAGTATCCCTTTCTTAGTGCTTATTTTCTCTCCTTTGGTGTGTGTTGGTCTGCATCTTGAAAGCATCTTTCCTAAGTCATATCCCCTGGTGTATCCAGTAGAGTAGATCCTTCACCCCACTTAGTCTGCCCCGTACCTTACTGGCTGCTCCAGCGCAACCCCTGGTCATTGCGAAGGCTTTGCTTCGGTCATGTTGAATTTAAGTGAGGGATCCGCCTTCTTTGGAATTCTCTTGTTTCCTATCACTTAGTTTCTGGGAAAGAACGCTAATGGGTAAAAGGGGACTCGCTCCAGACTTTGTAGGATCTTTTCTGCAGGAGTATATAATTCCTCTGTATCAGCTCTTTTTTTAAGTACAAAATATAGTAGTACTTAACTCTACAAAATTGTTACTTTATACAGTAGCTGACAAGTACAGTTTCATATTTTCATTATAAGTATATAAAAAACATTTATTTTATTTATTTATTCATGAGAGAGACACACAGAAGCAGGCTCCATGCAGGGAGCCTGACATGGGACTCGATCCTGGGACCCCAGGATCACGCCCTGGGCTGAAGACGGCGCTAAACCCCTGAGCCACCTGGTGTCCCTATAATTCTTTTTTTTAAAGTTTTTATTTGAAGTCCAGTTAGTTAATGTATGTTGTCATAGTAGTTTCAGGTTGTACCAATTTCTTCATGATCATATGGGATGACTGTTATGTAATTGACACCATCTGTCTTAAATGTATTACATTTATTACTTGATATATATATATTTTTAAATCTGAGCATCTGAATAGCCAAAAAATTCTCATTGTGTCAATTTTCAGTTTGGATTTTGGAAATTCCTTTTATTTTATTTTATTTTATTTTATTTTTTGTTTTATTTTATTTTATTATTTTATATTTATTTTTTATTGGTGTTCAATTTGCCAACATATAGAATAACACCCAGTGCTCATCCCATCAAGTGCCACCCTCAGTGCCCATCACCCAGTCACCCCCACCCCCCGCCCACCTCCCCTTCCACCACCCCTAGTTCATTTCCCACAGTTAGGAGTCTCTCATGTTCTGTCTTTGGGAATTCCTTTTAACACTTAGATGTTCGGTTCTTCCAAAAATAAGCCACAGATATTATAGTTTAAAGATTAAGATGAGAAGGCTCTATATTCTTAAGACACTTAAAATGTCTTTATTGAAAAGGTAGTGTCATAAGAATCTCAGGAATGGGGTTTGTAAGACTATTGTGGGTGATTTCACTGGTCATCAAGTCAATAATAGAAATGAAGCGTCTTGTTCTGGGATTTGAGAAGAGTTTAATTTTTTTCCCAGATTCCTATAAATTGAAAAGCTTTTTAAAGTCTCTCGTGAAATCAGTTGGGGATTTTCCCCTTCTTGGTTCTCCCCTAACGTAACTCATGGTTGTCTCAGTGAATATAGCATCGTGAGATTTGAAACATGGAATCAACCAGCCTTGTCCATTTGTGCAGAGGTTATGCTGTGTTATTTGTTCTCATGATACGTTTGGATCACATCCAGGAGGCTCACATTTCTACCATGTAGGATGGCTATTCTTAGTTTTTAGTATGGAGTATTTCAGTATTTTGTTTCCTTAAAGGTCATGTCTCAGGTCTTCTCCACCGTTGAGTCTAAAGAGTGAGTGGTATGATTTTATGTCATTGTGTAGTCATATATGAGGTATATGAAAACGTAGCACATTCAAAGATTTTAAATGAACTCTGAAACATTGTTTTTGATATGGCCTTCCATAGTGTGGGGAATTGGGAACAGAGTCGGATAAACAGAATTTTCTTTTATTAAAAAGAGTAGACGGGCTTCTGGGTGGCTCAGTCAGCTAAACCTCTAACTCTTGCTTTCGGCTAAGGTCAGGATTGCAGGGTCGTGAGATCCAGCCATGGGTTGTGGGTCGGTTGATGTGCTCCCTGGGGAGTCTGCTTGAGATCCTCGCCCTCTGCCCCTCCCTGCACTTGAGCTCTCGTGCTCTCTTGCACTTCCTCTCAAATATCTTTTATTTAAAAAAAATCTTTAAGAAAGTAGAGTTGTATTTCTGCTGGGAGGCAGGTAATGGGAGGACTTCTTGACCTCACAATCCATATCGCTCTTAGCATTCTTCAACCCCATGGCTGAGGTCTCCTCACTGGATTGTTCTTACGGTAGACGTTTGAAGGCACTCGGCGTGGTCACAAGAGATGTTCCAAAGATCCTTCTTTCTGAGGCCTCAAATGTGCTTTGTCCCCTCCATTCCAAAAGTGAGTCTCTTGAATAATGTCATGAGTCCTGCAAATTAGGGCGCTTAAGAAACAAGAGGTATGGAAATTTATAAATATATTAACTAGTCAGTTATCTCAGGAGGTGGTTTTAGAAGTAGAATGGAAACAGGGTGTAAGTTTTTTTGTTTTTGTTTGTCACTCTAGTAGTCTGGGGTATCCTCAAGTCCATCCACCCTCCTTCCTTTCTGGCTTTTTGAACTGTTTTGTCTAAGTAGCAAACCCAGTTTCACTTATTGTGCAGAACTCGAGTTAGTAGGACATTCTGTGTCCTGCCTATGCCTTTTGATCTTCATGACTTGAGGCACTTCTGAAACCATTTATCATGTTTCCTAAATGCATCCATGGGTTTGAACATGAATAACTAACGTGTTCCATTACCTAACATAAATGACTATAGTAATCATCTATATCTAATATAAATAAATAACTCAAAGTTTCATTTAATATGTCTCAGAGGAGCACATGTTATAGTTAAGCATGGGAAGGGGCCTTAGAAATAACTGAGTCTCAGCCCGTCATTTATCCGATGAGAAAAGCTGACGTCCTAGAATTTGTTATTGGACTCGCTGTCGCAAAATGTGATCCTATATTTTGGCGCATGCCAGTAATAGGATAGCTTTTGGAAAGTATATCCCAGAGATGAATGTGTTACCCACTAATGCGAATGAATGAGAAAGTTGGGGGGTGGGAGAGACTTTGGTTATAGTATGTCCCATAGAAGTGTTCCCTGGTTTTACATGATATTTGATCTCTATATCTATCTCTATATCTCTCTCTATCTCTATCTCTCTATCTCTTTGTAGTAATATTAGAAATATAAGACTATCAGAGTAAGTTTCAGAGGAAATAGAACTTTCTGTAGATGGGACTTTTTTTTTCTAAAGAATGATTATATGGCCTAGGGGAGCATTAATGATATTCAGTGTGTTCACAGATTGGATACCATTATCCTTAGCGGGCCTTTTATTATGGACGCATATCCACCACCTTCTCTCTCATACAACCGAGGGAGTCTCAGATTACAAATACCCTCGAATGAGTGGGAGAGACTGAACCAAGAGATAGGCCGTTGGTTTCTCAAGCTGTGTTATCAAAGGAAATGTGTTTCTTCTGCGTATTATCTCTATGTTCCCAAAGTAAATAAAATCCAGTTTCCTATTACTGCCTATTTGGCTTCCCTGTGCCCTAGGCAGTTTCTGTTGGCATAGTCAATATGGAGATGAGTGTTTGCAGAGTAACATTTAAGTCCTTTATTTCCCTAGTATTGTATTTTTTTTTAAGATTTTATTTATTTGTTCATGAGAGACACAGAGAGAGGCAGAGACACAGGCAGAGAGAAGAGCAGGCTCCATGCAGGGAGCCCGATGTGGGACTCAATCTCGGGACCCCAGGGTCACGCCCTGAGCCAAAGGGAGATGCTGCACCACTGAGCCACCAGATGCCCCCCTAGTATTGTGAAAAATTGGAAGTATACAGCAAAGTTGAAGAAGTTATATACTGAATACCTCTTAGAGTCTGTAACTAGGAACTTTGTGAGATAGGTGCTTTATCATCCATCCGTCCGTTATCCATCTATAAGAAATATTTTTAATAGATTTGATATCTTCAGAATAACCCTTAAAACCGGAAAAAAAGTGTGTGTGTGTGTGTGTGTGTGTGTATACTGTTTTCCCCCTCTTTAAGTCCTGATAAGCTGTGGTCACAGATTCTGTTTTGTAGGATTCAAGAGGAAGAATGGGATAAATACATCATACCTGCCAAGTCAGAGTCTGAGAAATACAAAGTGAGCCGGACCTTCAGCTTCCTCATGAACAGGATGACAAGCCCTCGGAACAAATCTAAGGTAATCAAAGTCCTGTGCCCGTTGAGTCTACGTGTAGCTGGTTCCATTCTGCGGTCGCCGGCGTAGTCTCCCCTTGGACGCAGTGGTCTCAGATGTGGTACACACGTCCTGGAAGACCCTCTGCCTTCTTACTGGGTGTGGTCCGAGTCTCTAGGATTGCAGCACGACTGTCGCCCAGCCGGGACTCGCGGGTGCGCGGCGTCCCTCCGCACGCAGGCCTTACGTTCAGACGGGGAATGTCGAGGTGTCCTATGGCCTGTGGAAGTACCTTGGCTCTCAGCATTTGTCTCTCTTCCTTTCTCCCCACGCGGCTGTTGCTGTTGTATCCGAAGACGAAAAGCAAGGATGCCAAAGACAAAGAGAAACCGAGCCGACATCAGTTTGTCCCCGGAACCTTCTCTGGGGTTCTCCAGTGTTCCGTTTGTGATAAAACACTCCTGGGGAAGGAGTCATCCCAGTGTTCCAGTAAGTCTGTGGGCTCAGTGTGTGCTGTCCCTGCATTTTGCCTTCCCAGACAGTCAGCTCCAGGAGAATAGGGCTGTTTCTTTTCTTTTAAGTTTTATTTATTTCAGAGGGAGAGAGAGAGGCTTCAGCAGACTCCGTGCTGAGTGTGGAGCCTGACGCGGGTCCCGACCTGAGCCCAAACCGAGTCAGGTGCTCACCCGCTGGCACCGCCCAGGGACCCCAAGGCCAGGGCCATTGGGAAGCAGGGTTCCGTGAACTGTCGTCGTAGCGCCGCCCGTGTGATCTAACAGCTTACAGAGCAGGGACCCTGTGGTCAGCTCCGGGGCTCTATGTGCTCTAGTGACGGCCCCCGGGACCCGGCCCGCCTGTGTCACTGCCTGCTTGGTGTGCCCGCCTGGCTGTCGCAGCGGCCTCTCAAAGGTTGCATGGCCAGAACGCAACTTGGCTTCCCTGTCCCGCGGCCCCATGCGGTCCCATTGTCCCGGCCCCTGGCAGCCGTGTCGCCCAGGCAGATGTGCATGGTGACATCTGGGGGCCGTCCGTAGGTATCCCCGCCTCTCGCGTCCCCATGCAGCCTGCCAGCCATCCTCTTGGCTCGGGCTTCGGACCGCGTAGGCTGGCCTGCCCTGCTTGCCTATGTTACCCGGGGCTGAGGTCGCCGTCTCAACAGCCTCTAGCCCGTTTCCCTGTACTTTCACCAGACGGCACAGTTCTGAAAACACCTGCTGTCGGAACGTCAGGGGCTGAGAGCATCCTGGGTCCCGGAGCACCTGGCTTCCTGTCAGCCCCTGGGGAGGCCGAGGCCCCACGACAGCCACCAGGCCCCATCACCCCTGCAGGCCTGACCCCTTGCCCTCGCCCCTGCCTGGCACCTGGCTCCTGCTGGCCGGGCTCCGGCCTGCCCCCCTCCTCCCAGGCCTCCCGGGCCTGCTCCCCACTGCCGCTCCCCCAGCCCCGTGTGCTCCGTGGTGCTCTCGGGCCACCATCTGTCACTGGCCCGTGCCCACGGCAGCCCATCCGGGGGCCTCAATACCTGGGGACCTGTCGTCTGCAGGCCCCACGAGACAGCAGCCCACAGGCCCTGGGCCACCCACCTGGGCTCACGAGTGGCTCCCCCCACCCAGCCAGGCCGGTGGCCCTTCCATGTCGCCCCGGTCGGCGCCTTCACCCCTTGGCTGCCCTCGTCTGGAGGGCGTCTACCGCTGCCCTTGTTGCAGCGCCCACTGGGAGTGGCCACAGCTGCCGGGGGCCTCCCTCCTGGTTGTCCGGGCCGAGCCCCCCGCGGAGGCACAGTGGGCCCCATACCCGGCGTGGGCCCCACACCCGGCGCCCCAGCCTGCGTGCCTTACTCCCGCCCCCTTCGCCTGCTCCGTGTCTTGCGGCCTCCCGACCTTTACCTGCTCAGTAGTCCTCGGGTACCGCGACGGTCAGTGATGCTCTGTGGCCCCGCGGCAGCCGCGACGGAGCCCAGCCCGCGGGCTGCCACTGCCGGGCAGTTATGGACAGCCGCGGACCCGGGCGGGGGCTGTGTTGTGGCGCAGAGCCGTGGGGCATTGGGCGGGCGCAGGCCCGGGAAGGGCCCCCCACAGGGAAGCTGTGCTGAGCTTTGAAAACAGTCATTTTCTTAAAGATTTTATTTATTTATTCATGAGAGACACAGAGAGAGGGAGAGACCCAGGCAGAGGGAGAAGCAGGCTCCATGCAGGGAGCCTAACGCAGGACTCGATCCCGGGACCCCGAGGTCATGACCCAACGTGAAGGCAGATGCTCCACCACTGAGCCACCCAGGTGCTCCAAAAATAGTCATTATTATTATTTTTTAAATGCAATAGGACTCCTAAAAGATACAAAGTTTAAGGAAAATTTTAAAATCATCCAAAAATCTTACAAACTACAGAAGATGGCTATTCGTATTTTCATGGAGTCCGTTCTAATTATTAAAAAGCTGGAGCTGGCTGTTTATACTGATGTTTTATTGGATTTGAAATACGTTTACTCCTTACTTATTGTATATTTAAGAATTTCCCAATTTTTTTTTTCACTACAAAAATGTGGTGAGGGGCATCCCTGTACATATAACGCTATCCACATCTCTCTCTCTTTTTAAAGATTTTTTATTTGTTTGAGAGTGGGAGTGCAAGCTGGGGGAGGGGACTCTCTGCTGAGGGAGGACCCCCGCCCCGGGCCCGGCCCCCGCCCCGGCACTCAGGGCTCAGTCTCAGGACTGACATCGTGACCTGCGTGGAAATCGAGTCAGATGCCTGACCAGCTGAGCCACCCAGGTGCCCCTGCACTGTCCTCGTCTTCAATTATCTTACGTTCTAGCATCAGTATGAATATATGTTACATGTCTCCTTTAACCCACAGTTGTTTGGGTTTTTTTTTTAAAGATTTTATTTATTAGAGAGAAGATGGGGTGAGAGCGGGGGAGAGCACGGGTGTCAGAGAGGGGGAAGCAGGTTCCCCTCCACCAGGGAGCCGATGTGGGGCTGATCCAGGCCCAGGGATTGGGACCCGGGCCAATGGCAGCTGCTTAACTGGCTGAGCCCCCCAGGCACCCCTAACCCACAGTTTTTTCACAAGTTTTAAGATTTACAGTTTTTAGGAAGAGGAGTGTTGGAGGTTTAAACCTTGGTTATTATTATTATTATTATTATTATTATTATTATTATTATTTTACGGAGCAGGAGATTTTGACATGTATAAGCTCAGCTGTTATTAGTAAATCTTAGGCGTGTATTTTTGTATCATGAGGGTTACTATTTCTAATCTTAAAAACTTATATAAAAACATAGGTATTCAAAATTCTGATGCTTGCATTCTTTTCCATGAAAGCCTGATTTGCGAGGCTTTTTTTTGGATTTTGCTTTTACAAATACTGTTTTTCTATGAAATTATTTTTGTTTATAAGTAGATTTCACTGCTTATATTCGGGTGTTACATTATTTGTGCACAGCAGTTCACAAATCACAGCTTTACTGTGAATTTAGCTTTCATAAACATAAAATCACTCTTTTAATTTGTTGCCTTTGGCATTGCTTTTTACCTTGTCTAAAATTAATATTCCTCTTGCTTTCCTTTTCTTTGCATTTTCCCTATTTCTGTATTTTTTTAAATTTTTTATTTTTTTAATTTGGGGCAGGTGTCTTTAATTTAGCTGTAGTTAATCCAATTGAGATATAGTTTTGTAGCAAAGACTTTTTAAAATTGTTTACACTTACTTTTATAGCTGTCAACTATCTTGTAGTTCTTTGCTCTTTTCCTGGATGTCTGATTTATCTATTTATACCATGTGTTTTTATGTGCTTAGGGATTTGGCAAGATAAGCTATTGTAATATTGACTAGTGGTAACTCTTAAAGCTTATACTTGAATATTCTTGAATTTCTCTTACATTTACCCTTTTTGCCCCTAGACTCTATTGGTAGACTAGATTATTAAATTACTATTTTTATGTTGTATGTTTAATCTTTAAAGAATAGTGTCCCATTTCAAGAATAATTTGATATTTGTATTCAGTTCTCTGTCTCTGAGATTTTTTAGATATGATTCTTTGTTAGTGGGTTTTACTGATTTCCTCTCCTTTTCTTTTCTTTTTAAAAATAAAGCTGATCGATTCTTGAACTTTTTATCTCGATTCTGCTCTTATAGTTTGAGTAGGAGTTCAGGTAAATCTTTTTTTCAAAAGGATTGTTGGAGTGATCTGTTTTCTGAAACGTTGTATATCTAAGGAGGAGGCATATCTTTGCTTCCTTCTTTCACACACAAAAAAAAGAGACTTACCTGGCTAAATAAATTCCTAGGCCAAAACCTTTGCCCTAAAGACCCTGTGAACTCTGGTCGGTGAATTTTGGGCATTGACTATTACAAGAGAAAAGTTTGGGGCCTGTCTGACCTTATTTCTTTGTCGGTGACCTGCTTTTTTCTGTCTAGATGCTTGAGAGCTTAAAATTTTTCAATCATACAGATATTGTCAGAGTGTCTACAGAATAGATAGCGTTTAATTCCTAGAAAACAGTGAGACCTTTTGATTTTTGCTTTTTCTTGTTCTTTTTTTAGCTCAGTGAAAGTTTTTGTCAGTTGTAGCTTTGACTCTTGGTTTCTGATGTAATTTTTCTGATTTCTTCCTTGTAGAAGTATGGTCTCTGTTACCTTTTTGGTGTGACATCTTCTACTTTATAATTATCCCCTCCTTTTTCTCTACATTTGGGATGGAATCTTTCAAGTTTTATTTCCCAGTGCTGCTTTGATATTTTTGTTCAATTGATTCTTCTCAGTTCGACCCAAGTTCTGCTTTCTTGTCCCACAAAGCTCCATCTCCCTCTCATCGTGCTGGACTGTTGTCAGGTCCTCTTCTCCCTTATGGCCTTTGAGTCCTATTTTATGTCTATTTTGTGTCCCTGAGGGGAAACACATTTCAAACATCTAAGTTTTTCTTCTCTGTTTCTTCTCTGATGATTTAATAATCATCCAGTGGCTTCATTTTCCTATGAGTTTTCAATCTAACTTTGTGGTATCTTATAGTTTCTACTTTTTTTCCCCTCATTCACTTGTCCTGGAAGGAGGAGAGAGCAATCTGATTTCCACATTTGCCAGCAGGACCAGTACGTCAGGATAATCCTGACCTCTGTTCATTGGCCATTGAGGTATTGGCTAAAATGCCTCTGGAGACTCCAGTGGGAGGAAGTTGGGCCCACTTCTCAGTGGGTTATGGGCACTTTTCCAGGGTGGCTGGGATGGACCTAAATGGGACTTTCTACCCACCAGGAAGGATTCTTTCTAATGAAGAGTGTGATAAGTCACAGGCTCCTCCCTCTGCAGTGTGTGTGGTTGGTGGGATGAGAGGGTCACGGTGGGTAGGGTGGAGGCTGGCAGGGAGGGAGGGCAGGAGGGCAGAAAGTCGTCTCCGGGCACAGGAGCAGCTTCCTGTGAGGATAGCCTGCATCTCTGAGCCAGCGGGCAGAAGGGGGCAGACAAGCTCTTCCCTTCTTGGAGTGAAACTGAAGCCACGTGTTTTGTGGCATAAGACAAGCAAGTGGCCAACTTGTCTCTTGGAATGCGACTGCCTGTGGTTGGCGGCAAGTCCGCCTGGAGCCTGACTCCAGGAAAAGCTCTTTTCAGCATCGTTGTGGCTTTGCTTTCTTTCTTTCCATCCTGCAAGGCATTGTACCTGGTAAGGAGTGGGCCATTGCCACCAGCCAGATGTCAGAAGTCCCTTGCAGTGTAGGGCATGTGGTGGTAAATGAGTTCCCAGGCGGACGCAGGAGTGTGCATCGTGCATAATTGCAGGCTTCATCACTAGTAAGACTCGGCACAGAAGGGGAAAGATACCTCCAAGGAAATGAAAATATGAACCATATGCTTGTGCTCAAGTCGTGAGGCTACATGTGACTTAGTTATTTTTCCTTCTGTTTCCCCAATATTTTTATGTGCCACTTTTATGATGACCAGTAAAAGCACCATGTCACCTTACTCATTTTTTGTCTTGCAGACTGTAATGCAAACGTCCACAAGGGTTGTAAGGACGCTGCACCTCCGTGTACCAAGGTGATCTGTCATTTGTTTTACATGGGCATTTGTAGCTTTGTTGCTTCCTTGTCATCTGTTTAGGTTTTTGTTCTTTTATTACTGTCTAGATTTGTTTCTAAAGTAATCATTGTAGTGATTAAAAAAACAACACATGTTCAAAGTGCATAGTTATTTCCTGGAACTGTACACCCTTTGGAAATAGGAAAAGCTCAGAAGTGGCCACCTGTGTTATAAGGTACAAGTAGGTCAGTGTCTGTTGAGAACTGCTTGGTTTACAGTGTAGACCTCAAGTACATCCGTATGAAGTCTAGAGCAGTAATTCTCAAACATCAGCAAATGTCAGCATCACCTGGAAGACCTGTCAAAACTAGATTTCTGGGCCCCATTCTCATAATTTCGGATCCAGTACGGTTGGGGTGGAGTCCGAGAATTTGTATTTCTATCAAGCTCCCAGGTGGTACTGCTGTCTTGGGACCACACCGTGAGGCCTGCTGGAATAAAGGACTGGGCTCTGAGTTTGGGATTCATCACATCTATTTGTTTCCTACTCTAACGTCATGTCAGAAATGTGAGTGAGTGAGGTGATGATGCTTCAGAGAGAATCTTAGGGGTCTCGCACCTCTGTGCCAGTTGAAACCCACAGCGTGCCTGGTCACACAGTTGAGGGTAATGTTTCAATACCCATGGGTGTTGTGGATCCTAGGCAGGAGGGTTGGTGAGAAGGAGGAGGAATGAGTAGGAGGAAGGCTGTGCCTACAGGAGCTCCTCCCTCAGCCTCGGTCGGGACTCCTGAGTTGGAGATTTCTGCTTCCCAAAGATTTTGAATAAAGCTAGGATATTCACGATGCGTGTTCACGAGGCACACCTGCATTGCAGCTTGCGCGTCTCATTATCCCAACATTTTTGTCTTTGGTGCATTTAATGTCTTTTGCTCTAAATTCTTTTTTGTTTGAATTAAGATCCCAAAAACGATATACATAAGAACCCTGTGTAAGTGGGTGAGCCCTTTTTTTATTTTAGCCAGATGGAATTTAATCTTATTTTACATGTTTCTAATGTTCTTTACCAGAAATTCCAGGAGAAATATAACAAGAACAAACCGCAGACCATCCTTGGAAGTAAGTGACATGGAAATGACAATTTCATGCCTACTGTACTTTTCTTCCAACGCGTAATACCTGCTCCTTTTGTTTTCTCGTTTGTCCAAATGTTTCTTCTTTCCTTACATGTGATTAGTATAATATTTAATTATACAAGGAGGTCAAGGATGGTATGAACTTTTATGCCAGCCTAGTAGCCTTAGTGCTAGGTGTACTATATGATCTTTTATTTCAGAGAGGACTATGGGGGGATGTGTTAGGATATTGCCTCAATTCTACGTGATAACATAGTGTAATGGGCACTATTGATTTAATAGCAACCTTTGAGGGAAAAGAAAACATGACATTAAGCATACGCGACTTTGTTTTCCTAGCATTAACACGTTCTTAACTATACATATACCTATCACGTGCTTCTTCAGAATCAGAGTTAGGGACAAAACCCTGAGGTTTGGAGTCTCCAGGCCCTGATGTCCATTATTATAGTAACCTGGTCCTGCTTATTAGCTGGGCCTGAGGCTGTGATCTCATCGCCTCCTTTAGGATGACAATGAAACTTCAAGGCACACTGCTGTTTTTCTCCATATGGTTAAATTTTGTGCTTCTGTTTTTCCTTGAGTTATATATTGCTTAATACAAAGCAGTATTTTTTTTAAAGATTTATTTATTTATTTATTTATTTGAGAGAGAGAGAGAGAGAGAGAGAGAGAGAGAGGCAGAGACACAGGAGGAGGGAGAAGCAGGCTCCGTGCAGAGAGCCCAACGTGGGACTCGATCCCCGGTCTCTAGGATCAGGCCCTGGGCCAAAGGCAGGCGCTAAACCGCTGAGCCAGGGATCCCCGAAGCAATATTTCTTACAACTCACTGGCAGCCTTTGCCAGTAGTTAACATCACATGCAAGAACCAAGGACCATCATCTCCTAAGTCTGAAAATCTTTCCGTTTGTTGTGAGAGGGTGCAATTTGTTCTGCCTCAAACATTGTGTTGCCTGCCATTTTTAAGTTTAAGTTTGTGGTCACTTTTCCTTCGAATCTCTGACAGAGTGACCAGGTTTCCAGAACCACTTGAATCGGGACAGTACAGTAGGCAGATCCATGGTGATGTGTGATTGGGGTGTGATGTCATATGTCATACAGGTTAAGCTAGTGCAAATAATCACACCTGTGACACCGTGGACACCCCTGCTTGGACAGAAGTCCCTTTGACTGTAGTTGTCAGGCACTTTTCAACTGCATAAGGTTAAACATGACAATAAAAGGATCTTAAAATTGACACAACTCCTTCTCTTTACTCTGCAAGTCGTGAAAATAAAACCGAGTCATTCGTGTCTAAAATCCCTTGTAGTACCCCGGGGTTCCGTGTTAAGTATTCATTCTCCTCTGCTCTACCTACAATACTGTGGGACTGAGACATTTTCCGAGTGTTGTATAAAGTGCACATCCAACGTAAAAGTGTTTTATGCCCATAACAATTTAGAAGAAAATGTTCAGAAGACATTTAGGAGAAACCAGGAAGGTGCTGAAGCACCCTATAGTGTTCAGTATGTGAGAGGGAGGGGCTCAGCTTGACCGGCAGGTTTCGTTTGCCTCAAATTGTCACCCCGTAAAGAACAGACTCCCCAGCGTCATTCCAATCCACTGACCTGCTGTGTGTGTGTGTGTGCGTATGTGCGTACGTACAATATGCATTCTACTAATAGTGCTAATAACACCTTGCGTCTATTTAAAGCTGCTGTAAGGAGCACAAGCAGTGGTTTATGGGAAAGCTCTCTCAGTGTTTCCCCATTCCATTTTCTTGCGTGAGCCCAGCCACCCACAGTCCCTAAGTGGATCTGCTGATGCAGGCCTGCTGCATGGGGATCAGGAGGGGGTGACATGGAAGGGACATTTGGAGCAGGTGTCAGGATGTGGCCAGGAGACTGGTGTCAAGGCCGGGCCTGCGACATATTAGAAGCAGCCCTTGAGTGTTCTGCTTCTTGGCTTTTGAGTGACTTTTGTAATTACTGCCCTCTGTGAAAACCTCATGAAGCACCCATTGTGATTTCCAGACTCTTCATTTCGAGACATCCCGCAACCCAGTCTCTCCTTGCACCCTTCTTCCTCCATGCCTATCGGATTGCCCACTGGGAGAAAAGAAGCTTCTTCCCAGGCCCATCCCTTGTCCAGAAGTGTTCCAGGCACTGCCTTGGAAAGGTAAGGCTTGGTGTGCTTTCTCCTCTTAACACCCAGAGCCACTGCGGGAGCTGATGGTCCTCCCTCTTTCCCTCCAGCTTCAGAAGATCGGGGCCATCCCTGGAGTCTGAGAGTGACGGGAACAGTTGGAGAAGCAGGTCTCATTCCGATGAGCTGTTACAGTCCATGGGCTCTTCTCCCTCCACGGAATCCTTCTTAATGGAAGGTGAGGAGAAGACATGTTTGTTTGTGAGGATTTTCCAGGAGGAATTTTTCCCAAAGGATCAAACATATACTCTCTTTGGTATTGATTGGTTGTTTTTTTTTTTTTTAATAATTCTGTTTCATGGCAACTTTTTGGTATAAAGTTTTTTTTTTTGATAAAAGAATGAAAATTTAGCCCCAGTGAATATTGCCAGGTAGTGGCCAAGGATATATTAAATAGACTTGTGGCATAAAGATAAGAGAATGAAATGCACTGTGTGCTTGTTACTGTTTAAAAGGGTTTTCGAGCTACTTTTGGGGGCACCTGGTTGAGCATCTGCCTTTTATTTCAGCTCAGGGAGTGACCCCCAGGTCCCAGGATCGAGTCCCACATCGGGCTCCTTGCAGGGAGCCTGCTTCTCCCTCTGCCTGTGTCTTTGCCTCTCTCTGTGTTTCTCATGAATAAATTAATACATAAAATCCTTTTTTAAAAATTTTTCAAAAAAATTTTGTTTATTCATGAGAGACACACAGAGGCAGAGACACAGGCAGAGAGAGAAGAAGACTCCCTGCAGGGAGCTGGATGTGGGACTCAACCCAGGTCTCCAGGATCAGGCCCTGGGCTGAAGGTGGCACTAAACTGCTGAGCCATCTGGGCTGCCCACATAAAATCTTTGGAAAAAAAAAAAAAAAAAAGAACTGATGAATTGGAATAGGGATAATATGTTAAAATGCAAACTTCACTTAGTTAAGCTGGGCTTGCCGAGACATCTGAGATCCGTATGCCCACCTGTTGCCCCCTACTTCTAGGGACTAAAAGCATTTTTTAAAAGCATATTTTGTAAGATAGGATTTAGCCTGGGGAACTGCGCGTTGTATCCAAGCTGTATCAGTAAGTGAGGAAGGACCGAAGGAAAGGGGAGCAGCGACAAGAGAAAGGCCTGGACTCTGCTCCAGGAATCCACTGCTTTTATTTTCAACTCAAGTCTTTGAATCCATCGTCATCTCACGCTGGCTCCTCTGAGCCAGACTCCCTCTGAGGAGTGCTGTTTGGGCAAACAGGATTTAGTTTTCCTGGAAGGAGTATATGTGTGTGATGGCGAACGCTGTCAAAAAAATCTCTACTCAGCTGTGCCTGGAGCCCTAGTGCCCTGCTTTCTTGTTTGTGTTAAGGACAGCAAGCCAAGTCAAGAGCAAATCAAGTGGAGAAGTACGAAATTCAGGTTTGAGTAGACACTGCAGAGTAAACTGGGGCAAAAGAGACTGTGTGTTTGAGGTTCTGTAGGCATATTGTGCACTCTGAAGGTTACCAAAGATTAATAAAACAAAATAGAGCACGTCAAAACAAACAAAAGAATCTTGAGATGTGGGATCCCTGGGTGGTGCAGCGGTTTAGCGCCTGCCTTTGGCCCAGGGCGCGATCCTGGAGACCCGGGATCGAATCCCACGTCGGGCTCCCGGTGCATGGAGCCTGCTTCTCCCTCTGCCTGTGTCTCTGCCCCTCTCTCTCTCTCTCTCTCTCTCTCTCTCTCTCTCTGTGTGTGTGTGTGTGTGTGACTATCATAAAAAAAAAAGAATCTTGAGATGTCTTGTTGTTGTCGTCATGTGTTTGGACGTAGTCATCATCACTGTTTTAATGATTCTTTGCTTTCATGCGAGCTGCCTCGATTTGGACCCTTTCACCAGTTTGGTTTTTGGGTGTCTCTGCTCCACATCAACCACATTTGGGGTTAGTTGTTTCTGGGTTCAAAGCAGGTTTATTTTGTGTGATGAATCTGTGGACGTGGGTACTTTGGAAGGTGTTTGTTTCTTGGTACCCCATTCCTGGCTTTTGTGTTCTACACGCACACTAGATGTCGTGGACTCTTCTCTGTGGAGTGACCTCAGCAGTGACGCCCAGGAGTTGGAAGCAGAATCCTGGAGTCTGGTGGTGGACCCCTCCTTTTGCAATAAGCAGGAGAAAGATGTCATCAAAAGACAGGATGTCATCTTTGGTAAGCATTGAAAATATGCTCTCAGGCCGAAGCAGGGTGGTGGGGGGAAAGAGCATGGAGCTTGCAGTCCTCCAGGCCCGGGTTCAGATATCCATTCTGTTCCTTGCTGGTCGCTTGATCTCAGACAAGTGGTTTAATTCGCCTGGATCTTAGTTTCTCTGATGGTCACGTTTAAAACGCGAGACTTGATCGAGGCGTTCTCTGTATGTGGTACAAGGCAAATTTTATTTCTCAGATCCTTTTCAAGTTTACTTACACGTGGCCTGTACTTCTTTTACTGTAAGAACCACAGTGAATTTTCCTGTGCTGTAATGCAAGGCAGCCGGGCAGCCGGGTATGTAGCTCTGCAGGTTGCCCCATGCACCTGCGGGCACCCCTCACTAGACCCGGCGGGATGGGCCGCACCTGGGTCACAGCAGCGTGAGCCTGAGTTCCATAGTTGTCGCTGTGAATTTCAACTCTCAGATTTTACTGTTTCGAACAGTTGGGAGCAGAGGCAATCTGAATTAGGGGAAGTTAGTTAAATGACAGATGAGTTACAGAAAAATAAAGCTTAAACCATTTAAAAATACAAAGTGGATCCTCAGAAGTCATTCCCAGAAGGTACCCTACTTTAAAGATGGGGCTAGCTCTTTTTTTTTTTAACCAATTCTTTGTATGTGATATGGGTCCCAAAGTCTGGTGGCGATGGATTCTTTCTCACCTGTGTCAGGTTGGTGGTGGTTATACAGGTCAGGAGCATGGTTTGAAATCTGTCCAGGGCTGTATACATAGGAAGATGCTGTCCCTTTTACTTCTCTTGCAGTTTATATTATAATTTTTCTTTGTTTACTTATTGATTTTATACATTAAAAATATAATCTAGCCCATTTGGGATGATTTATCATGTGCAGTTGTTCACAGCATGGACTTTGGGGTCACAGGGGCTTGTGATCCAGAGAAAATCCCTCCCTCTCTCTTCATTGTCTTTAAGGATGAGGAAAATGATTCCTATTTTTGGGCTCATAATGGATAATTAGATAAAAGGATTAAATGAACTGATTTTAATAAGTGCTTTTAGTGCACAGTCAGTACAAAAAACATGATCGGAAATAATATTTTGGAGCCTGTGGGTTGAAGAGATTTTTGTGTATGATAAAATAATAAAACTACGGTTACATTTGTTTACCCTCCATGGCTAATATTTCAGAGTCTTTCTCCCTGAGTCTGGAAATACTCACTAATCTCCAGCTGTACTTATGGTGCTCCCACAAATCACAAATTATTTCCTCTGATGCATTTTTATAATGGAAATAGAATTCATATGCCACAGAATTGGCACAGTGTGCACTTTGGTAGGTTTTAGTACTTTCCTGGAGTTGTCCAGCCATCATCCACTATCCAATTCCAGAGCATTTGCCTTCCTCCAAAAGGAACCCTGTGCCCTTAGCACACCCTCCCCATGTGCCCCCCGCCAGCCCCGGTGCCCGTGCACCTGCTTGTCCCTGTGGATTCTCCGACCCTGGGGATTTGGCACCAGCGAAGTCGTACCATATGTGGCTGGCTCCTTCTCCTTAGTGTAGTCTTCACAGTTCATCCGCGTCGTATATCAGTACTTCATTCCTTTTTGAGGCTGTATGTCATTTCACTGTGAATATACCACGTTTTGCTTAATCATCAATTAATGTTAATGGTCATTTTGGACTATTTTCACCCTGGGGGGTCACATTGTGACTTTATGTTTAGCCATGGGAACAACTGCCAGATGATTTTCCAACGCAGCTGCACCACTTTACACCCCCACCAGTGACGTACTGGGGATTTTGCTTTGTCCGCCTCCTTACCAACACATTTTTATTGTCTTCCCTTTTTATTACAGTTAGCCTCATGTGTGCAAAGTGACTTTGGGTTTGATTTGCATTTTCCTGCGAGCTAATGCTATTAGTGTGCTTATTGGTCATTCGTATATCTCTTTGGAGAAACACCTGTTCAAATATTTTGCCCATAGTAAAGTGGGTTTTTTTGGTTCATTTTTGTCTTTTTACTGTTGAGTTATAACACTTGTTTTAATACTCTGGATGCAAGTCCCTTATGAGATATTTTTCTTGCATTAAAAAAAATTTCAGTCCTTTTACTGGAAATGCCAGCATTACTCTTCCCATAGAAGCTTAGTAATTAGTGTCATTGGCAGCTGCACTTTATTAAACATTGATATTTGAAAACCAAACTTGTTGAAAAACATCTGATTGTATGTTTCTTGCCATATTTAAATCATCTGTAGTCCTACAGGTAATCCTACAACCTGTAGTCCTTGCTGTAGTCCTATGACCTGATACACGTTTTCCTTAAACACCTCCGTTTTTGAGAAACTCTCTTTCTATAGACATTGCATGTAATTTTAGTAATCCATGCTAAGAGCTGAAATTCCTCTCCCCTAGTTTCTGTTGACTCCATCCATGTAAGAAGTCTCCTCTCTGTCCCTGGGCTGGCCCTTGGCTGCTACCACGCAGCTGGCCCACTGCCCTCTTTCACTTTTTCCTTTTTTGATGAAGACTGTTACTTGCTTGGAGATTTAGAGCGAGCTGTCTACTACCTTTGGGCACTCAGTTTATTCAGCTGGGAGTACAGATAAGATCTACTTACTTGGATCTGAGAAATAAGTAATGTATACTATCTGACAAATATTAGCACCTGTTGTGTGCCAGGCATTCAGTCTGGAAACCAGGGAAATAACAGCAAACAAAATGTGCATGTTTCCTGCTCTCGTGAACTTATTTTGTTGTAGGGAGACAGCATACACGACCTACATACAATGTAGTACAGGGTATGTGTAGAGTACATAACAGGATGTAGGTAGTGATACGTGCTGAGAAGAAAAATAGAATAGTAGTAGGCTGTATCAAACAGGGACACAAGGGTTTTAAATGTCAGGGCACACAGGGGAGACATAAGAGACAAATAATATTTGAAGAGACCTGGAGGACTTTGGGAAGGAGCCCGATGGGTTTGGGAAGAAACCATCTCAGGGTGAAATCAGTCGATCGGAGAAGGACAAACATTATATGGCCTCATTCATTTGGGGAATATAAAAAATAGTGAAAGGGAATAAAGGGGAAAGGAGAAAAAATGAGTGGGAAATATCAGAAAGGGAGACAGACCATGAGAGACTCCTAACTGTGGGAAACGAACTAGGGGTGGTGGGAGGGGAGGTGGGTGGGGGGTGGGGGTGACTGGGTGATGGGCACTGAGGGGGGCACTTGATGGGATGAGCACTGGGTGTTATGCTATATGTTGGCAAATTGAACACCAATAAAAAATAAGTTTATAAAAAAAAAACCGTCTCAGGCTGTTGGAACAGCAAGCATGGAGGCCTTCGAGTAGTAGCTTACTTCCCCCCATTCCTTGGGCTGCCTTTTCACGTTATCCCCAATGTCCGTTGATCATCACACTCTGTTTCCTCCTGGAGAAAAGGGAATCAGTGCTGACTCTTGTAGTGAAAGAGTATCATCATTCATAAATGTCCCCCCCCCTTTTTTTTTTAGTTTGTATAATGTTTGGGGTTTAGCCACTAACGGAGGTCACTGGAGTACTTGGCCGTTAAAGCTTGTTTTTGTGCGTGTGTTTCAGAGCTGATGCAAACAGAGATGCATCATATCCAGACCCTGCTCATCATGTCTGAGATCTTCAGGAAAGGAATGAAGGAGGAGCTGCAGCTTGATCACAGCACCGTGGATAAAATCTTTCCCTGCTTAGATGAGTTACTTGAAATCCACAGGCATTTCTTTTATAGTATGAAGGAGCGAAGGCAGGAGTCCTGTGCTGGTGGTGACAGGAATTTCGTCATCAGCCGAATTGGAGATATTCTAGTACAGCAGGTAAGAGGGATGTGAAGGGCCTAACCTCAAACACCCAAAGGTTTGCAGACTCTCTACAATGTTAAGAGCCTATGAAATAAGTCAGTCAGAGAAGGACAAACACTATATAGTCTCATTCATTTGGGGAATATAAAAAATAGTGAAAGGGAATAAAGGGGAAAGGAGAGAAAATGAGTGGGAAATATCAGAAAGGGAGACAGAACATGAAAGACTCCTAACTCTGGGAAACGAACTAGGGTTGGTGGAAGGGGAGGTGGGCGGGGGGTGGGGGTGACTGGGTGACGGGCACTGAGGTGGGCACTTGATGGGATGAGCACTGGGTGTTATGCTATATGTTGGCAAATTGAACACCAATAAAAAATAAATTTATAAAAAATAAAATAAAATAATAAAATAAAATAAATAAAAAAGAGCCTATGAGAAACTGGAAGTGCTTTACCATTACTGCCAGAGGGGATTGGTTGGTTTTCTTTCGTTTGATATCCCTTTGTGTGCCTGATGGCTGAGATGCTTTAGCAGCCAGTGACCTACATCTGTGTGTCTTGGGACCTGGTGGGATGATCCCTATCCCTCTGTCCACTGGGAGTCACAGCCATACATAAATCTCTTACGTAAATTCTACTTAGACTTGAGGTGATGGCTCTGTAATAACAGGGCTCCCTACCCATTCGGGCCTGTGATAATCATGCCGATAACCCCACGATAGATGTAGGCTCATCTCAGGAAGGCTGTGGAAGATGTATTATCAGCAAAGCCTTAGGGCTCATGCCTGGGGGACAACACAGCAGATGTCACTAAAAGGAGGCACTTTTGAGGCACTTGGGATGTGTGAAGCACCATGAGAATGGATTGTGCTACTCTCCTCATAGAAAAGGAAAAACAAAATTTTGGCAATTCATGTTGGCCTTCTGATCTCTTCGAAAGGGGTTTTCTGTGATAAAGATGCTAATAGAGAAGTTAACTCATGTTCAGTGACCATACTAGGACAGGCACTTTCAGGGTGCTTGTGTGCATATTGCCTCCTTTCCTTCCTCAACTCTCTATACAAGGTAGGTATTATTGTCCCCATTGTACAAATATGAAAACCGGGGCATGGAGAAGGTCATGATTTTCTCAAGTTCACTTACCTCCTACGTAGCATAACTGAGATTTGAATCCCAAAATCTGTTCTCATTGTTTAGAGAGTTAGCTTCATTTGATGTTCTCTAGATAAATACCAAAATGTCATCTTCTCCAAAAGACTAATTTTGAATCCATTTCACTGTGCAGCACATGATAATAGAGTCCAGATGTTGGTTCATTTACTAAAAATGGAGGAGTTAAGTTCATTGATACAAATATGCTTAAGTAGATACTTTTAATGCACAGAAACCCCCCCTCACTTAGTTGTTCAATAACTATTTCACATCTAATAATTTAAAAATCTACATTAGTAACACATTCTTAAATCAGAGTAATCTGCTTTGCAGATTATCTATAAAGTCCTAGACCTGTTCTGTCCTCATAATTCACTGGAAACCTACAGTGCCAAGTTAACAGACTGTAAAGCCCTTTGCAAGACAGTTTGAATGAAAATGTCAGAATATGTCTGAACTTCAATCTGGGTGCATTCAAAAATGAAGTTAAAGATGTTTTTGTCATTTGAAATGATTTACATCTCTTTTCTTGACAGGAATACTGTGTTTTGAATCTAATTCAGAGCACTTTTGTTCATAAGTGACTTTTCATAGTCAACATATGTTCTATCTCTACCAGTTCCATTTTTAATTCATTGCTGTGCATAAAGCAGGACTTAAATTGAGAATAAGGTTTGGGAAGTTGGCTATTCCCAGGATGAGCTTGGTGTGCTGTTTTTGGATGAAGCACACATTACTCCCTTGGGGAAAGATTCTTGATTATTTAGGGAAAAGAATCTAAGCCTGCTTTTGTGCTGCTGTCGTTGGCTGTGCATAGGGCTAAGGCAAAGGATCTCCCCCAGTATGATAAAAAGTTTTCTCCTGAGGAACATATTAGCGGAATCTTGAGGCAGCTGGTGTCGGTGTGGTGCTCTGGGAACAAAGGAATAGCTAGCTATTGAAGGGATGTGGGGGGAAGACTTGGGGGAAATCCCTCACTCTTGGGCTATGGAGAACCTTAATCAGGAGGCTAGCCTGGAATATGATGCTAATTTAGTCAATGGAAAGAATTGGTATTAAAAAGAAATTGTAGGGGATCCCTGGGTGGCTCAGCGGTTTGGCACCTGCCTTTGGCCCAGGGTGCGATCCTGGAGTCCCGGGTCCCGCGTCGGGCTCCCGGCATGGAGCCTGCTTCTCCCTCCTCCTGTGTCTCTTCTCTCTCTCTCTCTCTCTCTCTCTCTCTCTCTCTCTCTCTATCATAAATAAATAAATCTTAAAAAAAAATAAAATAAAAAAATAAAAAGAAATTGTGAACATGAGGAACATGGTTGGTGTAAAGCAGGAGTTTGCCAGCTTCAGGTGCATAAGAATCCCTTGAAGCTTGCTAAAAATAAAGACCGCTGTGTTCCAACACCCTAGTGGTTTTGTTTTTGATAGGATTGGGGTGGGACCTGGGATTTGGCTTTTTAAAATTTTTAATTTTTGAGATTATTTTTTCCCCAATGCTGACATCTTGCGAAACTATTAAACAGTATCATAAGTGGGATACCAGCAACGATGCAGTCAAGATAGAGAACGTACCCATCATCGCCGTCATCACAAAGATTCTTCATCTGGCTATTCTATAGCCACATGTACTTCCCTCCCGCCCCTACCTCCTTCATTGTTGGCAACAACTAATCTATTCTCTGTTTCTATAATTTTGTCATTTAAAAAATGTTAGATAAATGACATGTGTGTTGTATATAGATTACATGCATAACATGTAATCTCCCTTGGATTGGCTCCTCTCCCTCAGCCTAATTCTCCCAAGAGTCATGTAGATGATGGTGTGTATCAGTAGTTCATTCCTTTCATTGTTGAGTACTGGTCCAGCGTATGGAAGTCCCACAGTTTGTTTCATCACATACTTGTGGAAGGACATTTGGTTGTTTCTCGTTCTTGGCTATTAGAACTAGAGCTGTTTTGGGGTGCCTGACTGACTCCGTTGGTAGAGGGTACAGCTCTTGATTTGGGGGGTTGTGAGTTTGAGCCTCACAATGGGTATAGAGCTTGCTTAATAAAAAAAATTTAAAAGAAGAAGTAAAGCTGTTTTTAAACATTCATGGACAGATTTTTGTGCACACTTCAGTTCTCATTTCTCTGGGATAAGTGTCTGGGTTGTATGGTAGTTCCATGCTTAATTTTGTGAGAAACTGCCAACTATTTTCCAGAGTGGTCGTACTGTTTTACATCCCCATCAACAGAGTACAAGTAATCCAGTTTCTTTGCATCCTCACCAGTATTTGGTGTTGGCACTATTTTTTATTTTGGCTATTCTGAAGGATGTATACGGATAGCTCATAGTGGTTTAAATTATAATTCTCCCGTGGCTGATGACGGTGAACATCTTTCATGTGCTTATTTGTTAACTGTATATCCTCTCTGGTGAAAGGTTGACTCATGTCTTTTGCTCATTTTCTAATGGATTGTTTTCATACTGTTGAATATTGAAATTTCATTATATATTCTAGATCCTACATAGATCTGTGATTTGACTTTGTCAGATATATGATTTGCAAACATTTTCTGAAATCTGTAACTCATTTTCTCAAAGTTTGATGAGATCCATTATTTCAGGATTTTCCTTTTAAAGGTCATGGTTTTGGTTTCAAGTCTAAGTACTTTTTGGTCTGATCTGAGATCTCAAAAGATATTCTCTTACGTTTTTTTCCTAAAGGTTTTACAGTTTTATGTTTTACATTTAAATCTGTGATCCATTTTGGGTTAATTTTAGTTTAAGATATGAGCCGCAGGTGAAGATTCATTTTTTGGTTTTAGTCAATGGTTGTCTAATTGCCCCAGTGCCGTTTGTTGGAAGGAAGGATCAGCCGTCCTTCATTGAATCGCTTTTGCTGTCAAAAATGCATTGGGCATTTGGGGTTCCTACTCTGTTCTGCTAATCTTGTGTCTGTCCTTTCACATGGTCTTAATTGTAGTTATATAATAAATCTTGAAATTGGTAGACTGAGTCCTAGTTTTTTTTAAAACAATTTTAGGTATTATCTTTCCATCTAAATTCTACAATAATCTATTATCTATTTCAAAAAAAAACTTGCTGGGATTCTGATGAGGATTGCATTAAACTTGTAGATCTGTTTGGGAATATCGCCATCTTTACTATGTTGATCTTTCAATTTATGAACATGGTGAATCTCTCCATCAGTGTGGATCTTCTTTGATTTTTTTCACTAGTGTTGTATAGTTGTCAGCATGGAAGGCCTGTGTGTACTTTGTTAGATTTTTATCTAAGTGTGTTTTTTTTTTGAGCAATCATAGGTAATTTAAGAATCTGCCCTTGAGACATACTGACCTCAAGCATAGTTAAAACTATGAGTAAAGATGAAAAGATCAGAGATGGGGATGTAATGCTGAAGTACTTGCCAAGGGCTGGGTGGGTGTGTTCTGGTTTCTCTTGCAATAATATTGAATATTGCAGAGGCCAAAACATTGGCATTCAGGTAATTCAATTTGTTCCCTCCATAGTACCTTTGGAATCTAATATGGCTCCCATCTAGATTTTTCTACAGAGCTGTTTCCTCAAGTTTAAGCTTATTGAAATATCCAGCCGTATCTCTATTTGTGCATCAGTTAGCAAATTGGTATTCTGATTATTTATCTTTTGCTTTTACCTGCTTCTTGACACATTTGTGATGTGCTGACAAAAATCAAATTGCGAATTGAGTACTGAGTCCGCGGGCATGATTGGTTCATCAATGTAAATATCAACCCATGAGAGGTCACACCTTCTTGAGCCACCCCCAAATGTCGCAGCATAGCTTTTCTTTAGTCTATAAAAGTAATAAAACAATAGGCTGAAATGATAAAGTTGCTCAAACACCCCCCGCCAAAAAAAAGTAAAAGATAGCAAATGTTTTTCATTTGACTGTCTGATAACTGAATTAGTTCTGTACTGTATGGTATAACCACAGAAGGTTGATCTCTTCCCCTTACCTCTTGGCAACTTCTGACTTTAATTTAGAATGTGTTTGGGGAAAAGTAGGGATTGTGTTCAGAAATTTTATGTTTATTCTTTACTTGCCTAGAATATATTGAAATCTATGAAAATTGCATGTTCTTTTCAGTGTTTAGAACTGATTACATTGATAAACCATCTCTGAAATGTTACTCTCAGTTTTCAGAAGAAAATGCAAATCAAATGAAGAAAATATATGGAGAATTCTGTAGCCATCACAAAGAAGCTGTTAGCCTCTATAAAGAACTCCAACAGAATAAGAAGTTTCAGAATTTTATTAAGGCAAGTATTTTTAAACTTACAAAGTGGTAAACCAGCTTGGGGAAATAGTTTGTGCTTTCTTGTTACATGACCTTAACAATGTGCACATCTAGGTGCTGACTTTCAGGGGAAAGAGAAGAAAGTGATAGGCTCATGGCAAAGATGGAAAGTCTCTTCTTCTGTCTTAGTGAGATATTTCTCCCAAATCATTTCCTTTTGTATCTTATATTTGTAAAGTGTCCTCCAAGCTTTTGACTACCTTTGTCATATCCTGGGTTGTTGTTTTATGTCCTGAGAAGTAATAAACTAAAAGAACCTTAGTAAAAATACACAATCGACCCCACCTCCACTGGATTAATTTGAAGCAAATCCAGAACATCATATAATTTCACATTTATGTAATATGTAACTCTAAGCAATGCATCTTTTATTTTTAAAAACTATTCATTCTTTTTTTAAATTTAAATTCAATTTGCTAACATATTAGTTTGCTAACATTGTTAGTTTCAGATGTATTTTTTCAATACATCTTTTAAAAATTACAATGATATTATCACAGTAAGTTAAGAGTTATTCTTTAATACCTTCAGACAGCTGGTCAGTATTCAGATTTCTCTAAAAAATGAAATGAAATTGGATTGCTTAAATCAGAATCTGACTGAAGTTTACATGTTGTATATGAGAGCTATATCTTTTAAATCTCCTTTGATTTGGATGTTCCCCATCTATTTACTTTTCGGTGTGCGATTTGTTTGTTGAAGAAATTTGTCCTTCAGAGTTCCATAGATTGTACATTTTTTCTTTTATTTTGAGAATGTTAGTAGATTATCCTCCTCCCCACAGAACACACATATGTATTGAGAACTTGAAAACTTAGAGAATACTTGGAAGTTTTTAGGAAAAAAGTTGGCCTGATTAGAGAGAACTCTAAGTGCTGTGATGAATAATAACAAATGTAGAGGAAGACTGGTTAGAAAAACCAAGAGCTAACTGCGAACTCATGCTCAAAATGTAACTTTGATTTGTGAATATTTTCCAGGAGCAAGAGCTCCTCATAAATCTTAACACTTGATAAACTTGCCTACTTTTGGAATTAATTGCCAATACATCAGAGTAATTTGAAACTTCTTAATCTTGGAGAGTTAGGTTATTAAGAGATTAATGACATAGTGTACGATTTAATGACAATCAAGTTTTAATTAATGTATATTATGTTGCATCTGAATAGAATGATACAGTAGTAGAGTCTTTGAATTATTAAACTCAGACCTAAAAAGAAACTATGGTTTCCATATATAAAAATGTATGTATATATTTTTAAGCTTCGAAATAGTAATCTTTTGGCTCGACGCCGAGGAATCCCAGAATGCATTCTGCTAGTCACTCAGCGCATCACAAAATACCCTGTCCTGGTGGAACGGATTTTGCAGTACACAAAGGGTGAGTGATAACTTCTGGGATAAACATCTGCCTCTGACATTAGTTTTAAGCATAGCTGAGGTGTTGTCAACAGATACAAATGCTTGTGGCCTGTGATTCATGAAGATTATTAGGGAAAAACTTGTAGACCTTTAGGATCTGGATCCTTTTGGAGAAGTTATCTTTTAAAATATAGCTTGGGCAGTCATCTGAATTGCTCCAAGCAGCCCAAGCCAAGCAGTGTTCTTCATACTTTGCCCATCCCCTCTTTAATTTCCCCGTATCCAGATCTTCTTAATGCCTCTGCTTCTTCCTCTTCCTACGACCATACCAGTAGTCTGGCGAAACATACCCCACTGACCCTATCACCAGATGTCAAGTCTTCCAAGCAGTGGATTATTAAATTGAGAATGATTTATGATGGAGCTATTTTTAATCCCGTCAATTCATCACGTCCCAGTGGTAACATCTAGGCATCCTGTGAGAAGCTAATAAAGCACATGGCTGGACCACAGGCTCCTTGGAGGACAGAGAAGGCCTGTGTCTTCTGGTTCACAACTGGATCTTTAATGCCTGGTGCTGCGACTGGTACAGGAGAGGCTGTCAGTAAATAAAAACCTATCAGTGCAATGAATGAATAAATAAAAATGCCTGCTCCTCCAGCTAACTTACTGAGGTTGAGTAAATTATTTGTTGGATGGTAGCATTTAGGTTGACAGGGGCTTGGGTTTGGAAGCATGTAAACTTGCATTGCCATTGCATATACTTGGCTTTACGGCTCATTAGTTGGGCACGTTCGTTAACTGAGCCTCGGTTTTCTCCATTACTCAGTGAGACTAATAATCCTCAGGGAATTGTTGTGAGGATTAAATGAGATTGTTGCATAAAATGCCCAGTGCAGAGCCTGGTATAAACAAAAGACTCGATATGTGGGAGCTATTTCTGTTCCTTCATTATGACCCGTTGACTTGGAGGTAATGAAAGTAGTAGTGAGGGATCCCTGGGTGGCGCAGTGGTTTGGCGCCTGCCTTTGGCCCAGGGCGCGATCCTGGAGACCCGGGATTGAACCCCACATCGGGCTCCCGGTGCATGGAGCCTGCTTCTCCCTCTGCCTATGTCTCTGCTTCTCTCTCTCTCTCTCTCTGTGTGTGTGTGTGACTATCATAAATAAATAAAAATTTAAAAAATTAAAAAAAAAAAAGAAAGTAGTAGTGAGATTTTAAATGGCCACTCTAAGAAAGTCAGCCTTCAATATCCTCTTTTTGGGAAGCAATCTAGGCACACAGAAAGGCATGAATGTTTCCTTTTTTTTAAATTTTTATTTATTTATGATAGATAGAGAGAGAATAAGAGAGAATGAGAGAGAGGCAGAGACACAGGCAGAGGGAGAAGCAGGCTCCATGCACCGGGAGCCCGACGTGGGATTCGATCCCGGGTCTCCAGGATCACGCCCTGGGCCAAAGGCAGGCGCTAAACCGCTGCGCCACCCAGGGATCCCCCCCCCTTTTTTTTAAGTCACATTAAGAATTAAGTTCAGGCAGGAATGGTAGCCTCTGTTCCTTGTATCCCATTCTCAGTGCTCCCTGTAATTCAACATAAAAGAAAATAGAAGCACAATACGAAGAGAAAAGTCTCATAAATGTTGCTCTCAGCAAAAAAAATGAAAACAAAATTAAGATTTTTAGTTTGCGTGGTGTTCATATGAAGCATAAGTTCTAATACAATAGCTCAAAGACTAAAATCCGCCCGGCGTGTTAGGCCCGCTACTGCTACTCAGAGCCACCGCCTGCCAGATGCTTGGTAGAATGAGTAAGAGTCATTACCGCTGCGAGTCAGGAACGGTGAGTGTGACGTAGGGGTTTCTGGGCATAGCTGTCCCGATGCCTCCTTAGATCAGGCCTTGCCACCGGCTGGTTCTCGCGCTCTCTCGCTCCTGGGGACATTGGTCTACGCGACTCGGTTATGGCAGTGCTTCTCAGACTTCACTAGGCCTAGTCCTTTCCTGTGGATCTTGCTGACACACAGGTTCCATTGCAGTTAGGTCTGAGGAGGGGGCCCAAGCTACTCAGCCAGACTCCCGGGTGGGGCAGCCCGCCGTTACAGGACCGGAATCTGGCCCCCATGGTCAGAAGACGGAGCCTTTTCTCGCTCTTACCCCAAGTTGCCTTATAACTCAACTTTGATTTTCTTTACTCTCCTTTCCCATATATGAAGTATGCTCTTTAAAAAGGAGAACCTTGGTGGGGCGAGGGGGGTGCTGCTTCGTGTTTGGTAAGCAAAGAAGACACTTTCACAGACAGTGAGAAAGAAGGATCTTCCTTGTGGAATATCCCTGCCAGGATCCGTTCCTTGATTTTCTGGAACAAGCCTCATGCTTGTAGGACATTTACAACCTGGAAGTGTTGAGACTCTTTGAAGACTTGTCGTCTCACTTGACTGCTGTTTCTGTGGATTTCTGCTGCTGTAGGCTTTCGTTGTCTCTGCCAGTTTTTCTCCTCTCCTTCTGGCACCTTCTGACCTCCTGAGACTTTCACTTCTGTTTGCCTCAGTAAACATGAACTAGGTGTTCCTTATCATCAAATAGGAAAATAGTTAAGTTCACTTTCATCTGAAGTTCTAGAAAGCTATTCCAGAAACTCCTCCAGAGTTGTTTTTTTTTTCTTAATATAACTGAGAAATAGGAGCAGCAGCCTATGTTTTAAAGAAAAACAACTGGAATCGATGATTATCTACTATAGGCATGACTATAGCTGACTCACTAGGCACAGTGCCTTTGTCCCATTTTTCTTTTTAGGTTGGAAAAGTGTTGAAATATAATTTTGAATATTTTATGGCGGGAGGGATCCAGGAAGGCAAATGAGTCTGAGGCCTTTCCAAGTCACCCCACAGCTCCCTTTCAGAAGAGGATCCTAATTTGGGCCTGCAGATTGGCTAAGTTCTAAGAAATTTGGTGAAGGGCTTACTTGATTACCTGGGTCTGGGAAGGTAATGTTCATTGCTCCTGGGGAAGGTCAGACCAGTCTTTATAACTCAGACATCGTACTGACAGTGTGTCAGCTGAACCTTATCTGATAAGTAAATCTTTTATAACTAAACCTTGTAACAGTTCTTTTTGGGAGGAAGGGTGCAGAGTGATGATAAGGCATTTGAACCTAATCCAACATTTTTGTCCTGTGGTTTTTTTTTTTTTTTTTTTTTTTTTTTTGCTATTTGTATGATTTTAATTGCATTTAAAACTAAATTCCTTAGCACTTCTGGCATATCCTATAGTGTTCTTTTTTTTTTCTATGCAGAAAGAAGTGAAGAACATCAAGACTTGTGCAAAGCTCTGTGCTTAATTAAAGACATGATTGCAGCAGTGGATTTAAAAGTCAGCGAGTATGAGAAAAACCAAAAATGGCTTGAGATCCTAAATAAGATCGAAAACAAAACCTACACAAAGCTCAAAAATGGCCACGTGTTTAGGAAGCAAGCACTGATAAGTAAAGAAAGGACTCTCTTATATGATGGCCTTGTTTATTGGAAAACTGCTACGGGTCGTTTCAAAGGTATTGTGGCTCCAACAGACCAGTTTCTCCTTCTTTCACATATGTTACTCATTTAATAGGACAGATTTTCAAAAGAAGAGTGGTTCAGAGATGGCAGGCACACACACAAACTCTGGGGAAGTGGAACAATTCCCGTAGGCTCAAGTCATGAACCCCAGTAGGCAAATGCTACAAATCTTTGGTGGGAGTTTGCTGCCCCAAGCAAAACTCTTCATATATGTTTTATGAATTTGCAATTTGGGATACTTAAACCAAAGGAGCTGAGAATTCTGCTAATTGTTGGCACAGAAATATTACCCTGGCAAATGTAGTGTGTTGAACATGAGGCAGTACGCCCACACACCTAGAGTCTGTGTGCCGAGCCAGCTGGGGGCTCTCACGCCTTCGAGGGGAGAAATGAGCTCTGAAAGTCCTATTTCTTACTGAGTAATAAGATGCACAAATATACATGTTGGCGGTGGTGCAGACTTTTCCTCAGTGCTCCTGTTTGGCATGATCTGGCATTAACCTATGTTCATCTAGTTAGACTCTAAGACCATTTATTCAGCTTCTGAAGGGCTGATTCTGATCCAGACTCTCTTGGCTCTGACTACACACTATAGAATCGCCTTGGGAGCTTAAAAAAAAATCACCCATGTTCAAGTCTTCTCCCAGATATTCTGATTTTATTGGTCTAGGGATGAAGCCCAAGCATAGCAATGCCTAAAGGCTCCCAGCTGAGTCCACTGTGCAGCCTGGGTTAAGGACCACCGGTCTGCTCTCTGTCTCCTTAATGTATCTTAATAACTTCCTCAGGTAAGGGAGAGGAGGAGGTTGTTAATGTCTAGTTACTCCAAGGTAACTAGTTGCTCAAAGGTAACCCTTTGGAGGATTATTGAGCGTTCGTAGTGTTTGCAACTAACAACCGAAATGGGACTTGTTGATGCAGCAGTGTTGCGGCTAAACATTAACCACAATTAGAACATTAACCAAACTAAGACATTAACCTGTCTATAGACCCCAGCGCCTCAAGTCCTTTGCTCTTGGTCCGTTTCATCACATGAGCCGTTTGCTGACTCTGTGTTAGGATGTTTAGTCGGCTAGTAAAGGTGAGTTCCTGTGAACAATTTGTGGGGCAGTGTATGATTATTGCAAACTGTGCCCGGGTCTAGACGTAGTGATTCAGCAGATTTGCATACAGAATTCAAGGCAGAAGTCACCCTCTAACAGTTACCATTAAGCTTCTTTTTCTAAAGGCGAGGGCTTGCTCCATTCTATTAGAACCTTGGTTTATCAGATGTATTTTTTCCCCATTTTGAAGGCTACAGTATTAAATGCTGCTAGAAATTTAGCTATACCTCTAGTTACACAAACATGCATGCTTAAACACAGCTAAATCTAAATTGTAGAGTTTATCTTTGGCTATCACAGCACAGGCATTTTCATAAAGGTTCTTTAATTACACTAAATCTTAGTCATCCTCTTTTTAATAAATTGGTTTAGGTTTCTACCACGAAATCAGAACATTTGATAAAAGTATTTGAACAATAGCTCACTTCATTAATACTAGTAATATCTTTTCTTTGAAGATATCCTGGCTCTACTTCTACCTGATGTGCTGCTCTTTTTACAAGAAAAAGACCAGAAATACATCTTTGCAGCTGTTGTAAGTACACACAGCCATGTGATACATATTTTAAATGGCCGAGTCCCACGTGTCTTGGAAAAATGCCTAAAATTCCTTGTGAAATTGAGTAGTCGCTGGCAGGAGTGTACCCATTATATTCCCATTTAGTATTAGCGATTGCAGTGTAACAAGCATCTCATTTGGTTTAACAAGCGTGAAAAGTATTGATTTATCGGAGCCCGGAGTGGTAGTCAGCTAATTCAATTAACTGCTAGTTTAGTTGTCAATTGTTAAATAAAAATACTGTAGGACTTTGGTTCGGGTTGGTGGACAGGCACTGGCCTAAACCCCTCAAGTGACTCTCTGTCTGACTCTCTTGGCGTATCTTCTAGATCCCTCCCACCCCCTTCCTGACCCTGCTGTCCCAGGCACTCAGATGTTAATGCTGGCAACAGCGAGTCTCTTCTGGAATCTTGTTCTGTTTCCATTAGTCCGTCCCTGCTTTACCCGTTGCTAGCCCTATTCATAACTATCATGATGTTCCTTCCACCAAACAAGAGGACACCATTGTGGTATCTAAAGTTTAAAGAAGTTTCTTCCTTATTTTGACTACAGTGACTACTAATTACAAAGATTATTCATATGAAATGTATCATTGTAGTGTATTACATTAATCTCCTTGATGGTGCAGAGTTAGACTAGAAGTCAACCAGGGTTTAACTTTTTTTTTTTTTTTTTTACACAGCATCTTATCCAAAATGACTCACTTTTAAAGAAGGAAAATGTCATAAATTAACTTTGTCAGCCTCATGGAACAGTAGGCCCTGTTAAAGGAAAGAATCCAAGATGCAATGCCATTGTGGGCATTACAGTGGTGGCTCTCTAAAATGGTTCTTATTTATCATCCATTGACTGATAGGACATTCGGGTACCACTAGTAGATGTGATCAGTTCCAACTGGTTAAAACCAAACCCAAAGCTTATCAAAGTTTCTCTTATGCCATTCAGAGCAAACAAAGAAGCATGCTTTTCCAGGGTGGATTTGGGGGAGGAAGAGGTTGGTGGAGTGCCTCGCCAGCCCATCTGTGCTTGTCAGGTGGCCCAGTAGGCCTTGTCCCCCTGTTGGGCACGTTGGGCTGATGCCAGGTTGCATAGGGTCAGGGATTACTTCCCAAGGATACTCCAGAGGCTAGCAAGGAGGTCTCCAACAAGTCCCCATGGCTCTGATGCATTTGAACTGTATATATTGCAGATTTCATGACGACCTACTGATTTGTCCTTCAGCCTCTCTGTGCTGTTGTTTGGGATGTTGTGAACAGAGAGAAAGTAGGTGGGAAGGTGGAACCATTTTGTTTGTTGATGGGAGGTGAGGACCATATAGAAGAGAAAACAAATGTGCACCACACCTTTACAGAAACAGAAGTTTGTTCAAAACCAGAGAGCTGAAAGAGAAGCAAATTGTGCTTTCTTGGGTGTTATTACAGGTCACGTGACCTGCTCTTGGGTTGAAGGGTAGACACAGCATAAAGACAACTACCTTATTTTCTAAAACAACATAGCATATGGACTGAGATGAAGGTGTGATGCTCACCCATTAGTATGACTTGAAATATGGATCTGTCTTGTGCGACCTCTTCAAGAGTTACCTGTGCCAGCCTTAGACCACATTTGCTATGAAGTGAGATGTTAGGTGTGCAGTCCCCCAAATCCCAGAATGAAGGCGGCCACAGCTTAGCACCTCTTGGTAGAAGGTGCTTGGCTCTGGACAACAGTGAGATGATGCTGATGCTGTTTCATGGAGATGCTAGCCTGACACAGCGCAGCTTTGATCAAAACCAGCTAAGCCCTTGTCCATGTCAGGGAGCAAAATAGAAAACATTACCCACAAAGAGTCGAGGGCACTGTGTTGTTCCAGCACATGCTTTTGAGTTGCATCATACACATTTAATTAGCACAGCCCTCCAGTCATAAGGATCTTATAGTGGACACCATGGAGGAATTGCTGTATCAGCGAGGGTCATACAAGTGACTGGGTTTCCTGGTTCTCCTCTTGGCATTAGGGAAAGTTAGCATCATGGTCATATCCACAGGTAAGTTTCTCTGTTCTTTGTGCTGTTCAAGAAACTTCTTTAGGAAATGCTTAACTTGCTACATGTTACAAAAGACATGATGAATTTGGAAATGGCCAGAAGATGAGCAGCTGATACCAGCAGAAGAATGGCGTTCCTTTTTTTTTTTAAAGATTTTATTTATTTATTTATTTATGATAGACCGAGAGAGAGAGGCAGAGGCACAGGCAGAGGTAGAAGCAGGCTCCATGCCGGGAGCCCGACATGGGACTTCCATCCTGGGACTCCAGGACCGGGCCCTGGGCCAAAGGCAGGCGCTAAACCACGGAGCCACCCAGGGATCCCAAGAATGGCGTTCCTAAAGAGAATTTTGATTTTAAAGAGAACTCAGCCGGCAAAGGGAGTAGGAACCCACATCCATGAAATGAGTAGGAACACATAAGTATGTTCATTAAATCATGGGTTACTGAGTCTAGGAGGATCTCCTGAATATTAAAGAAGGTAACTTCAAAATGAACAATAAAAGAGACAAGGGAATGTGGAGGGGTGCAGGTGCAAGTTCAAAGCAGGAAGAGTCTTAGCTCTTGCTGTCACTTGGGACTTTGAATGTCATTCCCAGCAGATACTGGTGATGCTGTATCAGCCACTCCATGGAATCGCAAATGAAGGCAGGCTGACAACGGGGCTAAATGTAGCAGTGACTTTTCCTCTTCCCCTGGGGCAGAGGCTGTCAGCCTACCTGCAGGGATTGGCAGGAAACACACAGGAGGAACTGGGAGTGGGCTTGGGATTGGGGATCCCATGGTGAGTGCTGGAGACTGGAGCAAACTGGTGAGAACACAGCCTGTCTCACTGAGGGCAGGGATGACTCAGCTACAGCCAGTGTGTTCAAGGGAGTACATGGGCCCACGATCCCCATTCTGCTTTGCACAAGAACCTACCTATCTCCAATTTGTTAAAAAAAATTTTTTTTAAAGGGGGACGGGAAATCCCCTAGCTTTTAAATGTTGGCAACTGTTAAATCTGTTTTTAATATACTATGACACAAGTAAGACATCTCTGCAGGCTGGGTTAGGCCTGGGCATTAGCAGTTTTTAACATCTGTTTCTAAGGTAGACCCGTTACTCCCATCCCTAAAGATTTAATTTGAATTCTTGATCATCTCTCGTGCTCTCATGTGATCGGTATGGGTAATGACGGACATGCCTCTGACGCCTCCTCATCTGTTGGTGATTTAATTAATGCTGCTTTCTACCTGCTGACCTGTTTTTTTTTTTCGTTTAAAACATATCTGACCTTACCAACTCCCCTCCTTCTGCAACACTTACCAACTGGTTCAGATCATTTCATCCTTGCTAATGTCTTAAGCAATTTAATTTATTTATTTTTAAAGATTTTATTTATTTATTCATGAGACACACAGAGAGAGAGAGAGGCAGAGACACAGGCAGAGGGAGAAGCAGGCTCTATGCAGGGAGCCTGACGTGGGACTCGATCCCAGGACCTTGGGGTCATGCCCTGAGCCGAAGGCAGGTGCTCCCCTGCTGAGCCCCCCAGGTGCCCGTGTCTTAAACAATTTAAACCAGCTCTGCCTCTATATACTGAGGCCATTTACCTTGTAAGCTGAGGAGCCCAACTCAGTGCATTGGAAGAAGGAAAACAAATAAGGTCTTAGGTGGTGTATCCATTACTGAATAAAGGATATTAATAGCTCTTTGCCGCATCTATTGCGAGAATGAAGACCATTCTCAGCAATCAGACTGTCGACATTCCAGAAAATGTCGACATCACCCTGAAGGGACGCACTGTGATCGTGAAGGGCCCCAGAGGAACCCTGCGAAGGGACTTCAATCACATCAACGTAGAACTCAGTCTTCTCGGAAAGAAGAAGAAGAGGCTCCGAGTTGACAAATGGTGGGGAAATAGAAAAGAACTGGCTACCGTTCGCACGATCTGTAGTCACGTTCAGAACATGATCAAGGGCGTGACACTGGGCTTCCGTTACAAGATGAGGTCGGTGTATGCTCACTTCCCCATCAACGTTGTTATTCAGGAGAATGGTTCTCTTGTTGAAATCCGAAATTTCTTAGGTGAAAAATACATTCGCAGGGTTCGAATGAGGCCAGGTGTTGCTTGTTCGGTATCTCAAGCCCAAAAAGATGAGTTAATTCTTGAAGGAAATGACATTGAACTTGTTTCAAACTCAGCTGCTTTGATCCAGCAAGCGACAACTGTTAAAAACAAGGATATCAGAAAATTTTTGGATGGTATCTATGTTTCTGAAAAAGGAACAGTTCAGCAGGCTGATGAATAAGCTCTGAGTTGTCCAGCAACAGAAACCGCAAGATGCCAGATGATTTTTCAGACTTATTTGTGATACCTTAAGAATGCAATAAAAACTACACTGATTTGGGGCTTTTTCTTTCTTTTTAAAAATATTTATTTGAGAGAGACCGAGAGCATGAGTTGGAAGCCTGATGCAAGGCTCCATCCCAGGAACCCAGGATCATGACCTAAGCCAAAGGCAGAGGCTTGACCAACTGAGCCATCCAGGCACCCCGTGGCTTTTTCTTAAACCAATAATTCTTTCTAGCTATTTGGCAGTTAAACCATTCAGAAGTAAATTGTGCCAAGAACAGTAACAAGGAATAGAACAGGAATTTTTTTCTAGTAAAACTTTATGGGAGAATTGGCTGAATTTGGTTTTTTGAAGGAATTTCAAAGGTATTTCAGGCAAGAGGAATACAGTACCAGTGACAGGCAACATTGTTCATCATTGGATGTAGAACTTTGGGGGGAGATCCTGAAGGTATCTAATTCTACAGAGGCATAAATTTGAATATTTGTGAGGGAAGTATGCTTGAGTCACCTGTCTGGATACTGGTAACTTGTGTAGAAATCAACAGTGGAACAAAGTGATAGTTAATTTGTGTTCATGATAAACAGGGCTGTTGTGTCCAAGATACTCTCTTCACTCTCTACACTACCTCAGCTTTTTACTCCCATATTCAGTCCTTGACTTTTTTTAAGAAATTGATAACACTCAAAATCCCCCAATTCTGTGTGTCACACTTCAAATATGTGACCATACTGGACTAACTTAGCAGGGTTGCTCCCAACCTCTTTCTGCAGTTCTCCCATCTCAACTGATGGAAACTCCAGCCTTATATAAAGTTTTGAAATTTTTCATAACCTAGGAAATGAAAAACTACATTTTGCCTGGATTTGTATATTAGCTTTTTGCCTGGTTATCTGTTTTTAGCAGTAGTGAGAATGCCTTTCTCAACCTCCACTGTGTCTGATGGAGTGACTGAACTGGCCTTGCTATTCTTCAGTACCACTGTCTTAAAACCTTCAAGTTGTCTTTTTAGAAGTCCTTTCCCTTTGTTTGTTTTGAAGTCCTTTCCCTTTGGAGTGGCAATTTAACTTTCAAGTCTATTGTCAGATATTTTCAGTGAAGCCTGCCTTGATCACTCTATTGTGTTGATTCCTCAGCCCCATCCTAGCATACATATCCTTACCTCTGCTTCTCTTGCTTTTGTCCATAGCATTTATAATGTAATGTGGTTTACTTTGTTGTGTATTGGTTGCTTTTTTCCAGTTAGAATGTAACCTTTGTGAGGATGGATCTTTTCTCACTGGGATATTCAGAGTACTAGGGACAATAGTGCCTGGCACATAGCTATTTGCAGGGTGAATGGTACCTAGGTTGCCAGGGAGATTGAAGACTCACCAATGGGACTGGAAAGAAATGTTTTGGAAGGAATTGAGGATTACATAACTGATTCTGAAGGTTGAAGAAAATTCCTAACGGCAATATTTTAGAAGGATGGAGGTGTTATAATTGAGAGTGTCAGTTGTATAGGTGGTGGAAGCAGCCGTGGGAGTAATTTCCCACAGTGAGATGGATTAACATGATGGGTGAGACTTCCTAGCATAATAATTGGAGGCTGGTTGTAGCAACAGTGTTTTTTTCACTTAAGCTGGATGTGGTAGGGGGTGCCTGGGTGTTTCATTTGGTTGAGCATCTCCTCTGCCTTAAGCTTAGGTCATGATACCAGGACCCTAGGATCTGGGATTGAGCCCCCACATCAGGTTCCTTGCTCAGCGGGGAGTCTGCTCCCTCTCCCTGGTGTTCCCTCCCCCATTTGTGCTCACTGTGTCAGATGAATAAATTTTAAAAAGTTAAAAAAAAAAAAAAGGATATTAATAGTGTTCAGGGGCTCTCCCTAATTAAAGAGGGCAGTGTTCAAAAAGTTGTCATTTTTTGGTTTTTTGGTTTTATTTTTTGCTGCTCTAAGAAGAATGGGCTTAAGAGGTATTCTGAGAACACCCCTGCACACAACCCTAGACCCTGCGCGATGCTGGGAAAGTGGGCAAATGAGCCGTAAGGAGTCAGCCTTGCGGGATGTGGTGGCGTGTTCTGGGTAAAGGTATTGCTCAGTCCCCGAAGAAGGAGCCAAACCATGTACTGCTACTGACTCTAAACAGTGCTGAAAGCCACAAACCAAAGAAAATTCTTCATACTTAGCCCCAGAACTGTTTACCTCCCACAGGGATTCTTTTGGTCATGATTTCAACTACGGCTCCCTGCCTGAATCAGCATTATCATCCTCTTCCTCATCACCAATTCCCCAGTGCTAAGAACGGGACGTTGGGAGGTCACAGCGAGTGTTTGTACAAGAGGTGATTCCGTTATAGCCCGTGCACCAAAGTTCAGCTTATCTCCTATTCCGTTCTACTAGAGTCGTGCCCAATCCACCTCTACAGACGCGTACTGAAAGCCGAGTGCGTGCCAAGCACTGAGCTAGGAGTACAAAGATGAATGCGACCATTTCCACCTGCCAGAAGCTCATGCGGGTGGTGGGGAGAAGAGGCCTTGGCAGGTGGAATTATAGAAGTTTAGTTGCTCTGAACTACGGTTGCAGAAAACCCTGGTTATGCTCAGGGAACCTGAGGTCATGCGCCCTCCTCGCTGTCATTTTCATGGTCTGCCCTAAACACTGCTAACTCCAATGGACTCGTAGGCCTTCCACCCGCCTCCATCACCTGGTCATAGCTGATGCACTATTTTCCATCCCACGCCCCTTCTAGAAAAGCCCCCAAGCCCCCGACTACCTACGGCATTTTGATACTCTCACTGCTCTGATTGCTCCAAAGTGGTCCCTTTAAGCCGCTGATTCTTAAGGACACGTGTCCTCCTGTATCCTTCCTCTCCATCCTCTCTCTGCCGTGCCCTTCCTGTTGGAGATCTTCCCAACTTGCACGGCGCCTTTGAGAAGTCAAAGTGACATGACTCACCTGATAACTCTCGCTTTCCCCAGCAAACGTGTTTGGCGAGACCTTTGCTTTACCTGCGCGCCTTCCTATTTTATGTAGGATCAGAAGCCATCGGTTATCTCCCTTCAGAAGCTCATTGCTAGAGAAGTCGCCAACGAGGAAAGAGGAATGTTCCTGATCAGTGCGTCCTCTGCTGGTCCTGAGATGTACGAAATTCACACCAACTCCAAGGAGGAACGAAATAACTGGATGAGACGAATCCAACAGGCCGTGGAAAGGTAACCCTTCCTTCTGTCCACACTCTGGGGGATGGCCTTGTTCACTTGGGGAAAGCGTTCTGACCATGTTTCCTCTGCATGAACCCTCCGCCTCAGCCAGAGTGGCCTGCTCCCCGCCCCCCGCCCCTGCCTGTGATAGCCTCTCACCTGCAGCTCTGTTCTCTGCGCCTCCCTGCATGTACAGCCCTACCCCCTCTACCTGTGTGGATCCTGCTCACCCTTGGTGCAGCTCGGGGCTTCCCTCCTTCATGAAGACCTCTTCGGCTCCAGGGGTCTCTTCCTTCCCTGAAATTCTTGGTCATCCGCTCTCTCAAGCGTTTGCTCGGTGCTTGATGTAAACCGCCTTGTCGCTCTGACCTTCCCCTGCGGATACGTGTCCGTTAGACTGGAAGCTCCTCGGGGCAGGGGCCGTGACTTTTGGTTGCTCTTTATGTCCAATTCTGAAGAATCATCCAATAAACATTTTTCAATTGGTGGATTGAAGTGTTAAGTCAGTTTCCTTCTCATCACTTGTGTTTTTAAATGAGTTTTTTGAGAAACAAGATGGGGTGAGGGTGAGCATTCTTAATGGTAATTTGATGAGATGGATCTGGAATGATGTTTTGCAAAACTCCTCCCCCTCAATTGCACCCCACCCGACCTGCCACCCTACCTCTGTCTCCTCCAACTCCCTCCACTCTGTCCCGTTAAGAAGTAGCCACATGTAGTAGAAAGCAAAACTTTGTGTTTGAGTTGCACCTACTGGAGTGTTGGTAGTGTAAGGTGTGGGGGTCCACGTGTACGTGAGCGCACGTTTGTATATGTGTGTGTGTGTTTGGATTTTTGAGTAATCCTGTACTTCTGACTCTGAGAGTGATGTCGTGTTGTGCAAGGTCCTTTGTATACTCAAGAAAACCAGATATCTTGGCCTGAGGGCACGAACGGTTTTCTTTATGCTGAATTTTTCTTCTCTGAATAATGCTGTCACCAAGTCCCCACATCTTACTAACGAACCTAAAGATGTTTGGATTTGGTTTCAGTTGTCTGTTTTGACTGTTGTCTTTTCAAGTTGCCCAGAAGAAGAAGGGGGAAGGACAAGTGAATCTGATGAAGAGAGGCGGAAAGCTGAAGCAAGAGTGGCCAAAATCCAGCAATGTCAAGGTACCGTGCAGTCATCTCCACTTCCCTGGCTGGAGTGTTCTCTTTGGAGGGAGCCCTGGGTCATGAATGGAAGGGTTGTGATTAAATGTTTAATCTAATTCTACGTGCCTGAGGCTCACCCACCACTCTTCAGGACAAAAAGCATTGGCTCGAGGAGTGTTCGAATAAGACAACTGTCTCCCTCCTTCCTCCTCAGTGATTTAAGATATAACACATTTTACAAAAAAAAAAAATGGGCACATAATATACATGAAAGAATAATTGTGAGCCGTGTGGTGCAGACAGGCGGTGGAGTCATCGTGCAGTGGTGTGATTGGGGTCCCAGCACTGTCAGGTCATAGTTGTGTGAGTGTGGACGAGGAGCCCCTTAACTCTGCGCATCAGTTTCCAAGTCTGTGAATTAAGGAAATCAGATTAGCTCAGGAAGTCTGATCTCTAGCTGGACAACAGAATTACCTTGGGAGTTTTATAAAAACGCTGATGCCTGGGCCCTATGCTCATCCAGTTCACTCAGAATCTATGGAAGGTGGCTGTAGATGTCAGTGTTTTAAACTCTTCCCAGGTGATACGGAGGTGAACTGAGAAGCCCTGGAATTAGATGCTGGTCAGGGCCCCTTTAAACTGGAAGAATTTAAAGTGTTGGGATGTGTTGGGATCAGAGGAAAATGATACAGGCAGAGATGGTCAAAGAAATTGGATGTTTAGAAACAAAAACATAAACTAGTAGGTTTGGCTTTAACCAAGATGGTCTGAAGCCCAAGTAGCTTCAGTCCTTTTGCCTCGTTTTCCCTTGTGGGCACCAGTCAGTATGAACAGAGCCACCTCAATTTTCATTCCTGAGCTTAGCATTTACTCTTAATAGAAAACAGCCTGAACAAAAGAATAGCCGTGCAAATTTTTTTCTGGAATTAGCAGCATTTTCAGAGTACAGTAAATGTACAGAAAAGACAGGGGAAGCTCAGAGTGGTTAAGTCACTCACTGGAGGCTCTAGTCACTAAGTGGAATAACTAGAATTTGAACCTGGTTCCGTCCCACCCCCAACAACTCATACTTGACCTGTGAGACCATACTGCTTGCGGACGAGGAACCTCTTTATCTTAGAGCTTGGGTTTTCATACAGTTGCTGTATCCACCCGATAACCTTCCATGGTAAATACTGTTTCATAGAAATACTCAGTAACCAAGACCAACAGATTTGCGCGTATTTGGAGGAGAAGCTGCATATCTACGCTGAACTTGGAGAACTGAGTGGATTCAAGGATGTCCATCTAGAGCCCCACCTCCTCATCAAACCTGACCCAGGGGAGCCTCCCCAGGCAGCCTCATTACTAGCAGCAGCCCTGAGAGAAGGTAAGTTGCTTCCAAAACTATTTCGTCTAACAAGTTCAGGAAATGTTTATTCCACATGCCATGCCCTGTGGTCTTGCTGCTAAGACAAAGTTCCAACTGCGCTATGGTCCACGTTCCAGAAATTGCAAAATAAAAGGAAATAGACGTGTCGGGTTGTGTCAAGTACTATGAAGAAAACAAAGTGTCTCTCAAGAGGTAAATGGGTGGAGAAGGTGGCATGTACATACAATAGAACCTCAGCCATAAAAAGGAGTGAGATCTGGCCATTTGCAACCACATGGATGGACCCAGAGGCTGTAATGCTAAGTGAAAGAAGTCAGAGAAAGACGACTATCATTCGATTTCACCCGTGTGTGGAGTTTAGGAAACAAAACAAATGAACGCATCAGATAAGAGAAAAACCCAAAAAAGACTTTAATATAGAGAACAAATTGGTGGTTTTCAGAGGGGAGGTGGTAGAGGGATGAGTGAAATAGGGATGAGGATCAAGAGTACAGTCACCATGATGGGCGCTGATGAATACACAGAATCGTTGAATTATTGTATTGTGCACCTGAAACTAATAGAACTATGTTCACGATACTTCAATAAAAAAATAATAAAGATGGCTTTATTTGGAAAACTATAGAGGACAGTTGCTTCAATGAAGATTTTAATGAAGTCTGAACCCTACTTAAATAGGGGCGCCAGGGTGGCCTAGTAAAGTTAAGCATCTGACTCTCGATTTCAGCTCAGGTCATGGTCTCAGGGTCCTGGGATTGAGCCCCGCGTTGGGCTCCGTGCTCAGCGGGGAGTCTGCTTGAGATTCTCTCTCTCCCTCCCACCCTTCCCCACCCAGCTATGTGATCATGTGCACACGCTCTCTTTCTCTCTGTAAAATAAATAAATCTTAAAAAAAAAAAAGATAAATGGGATAGGGAGTATGGAGGGGGATGGAGTGGGGAGGTTGTATGTGAGTTGGGGCGACCAGGGAAGGCCTCTCTGGTATGGAAATATGCAAGCAGACACAGGGAAGCGGAAAAGCCATGTAGGCACCTGGGGAAAGGGTGCTGCAGACACAGAGAAGTGGCCAAGGTCCCGAGGCAGGTGCACAGCAAGCCTGAGGCCTCACAAGGAGGACCATGTGGGTCGAGTGAAGGGAGGGGTGCAGAGCAGCCGACGGTCAGAGCCAACTACCCCTCACATGACACGGACCCGACTGAGGCGAGGAAGGAGGTTGGAGTCTACTCCAAACTGGGGTATGTGATGTGTGTGCCAGAAGGAGCCCTCTGACTGCTGTGCGGAGAATGGACTAGAAGGGGGCAAAGTTCGAGTATGGGTAATAACAACGTTGAGGGTATAACCTTGGGAGCTCGTGGCTGAGGCGGGCGGAGGATAAGATCACTGGGGAAATGAGGACGTCTCGGAGACCTGAGGCCAAGGTGTCAGAAGGATCATGCTCGTGGATGCAATTCCTGGGAATTTTGAGGGGAGGAGCATTTGGGGAAGGGAGAAACTTGCACCAGGTGCTAAGTCGTTCAAGTGATCCGTAGGTGAACGGCAACAAGGAGGGTGGGCGGTGTGATCCGATGGCAGAGAATGGAAGGAACAAGGGGGTCAGGGGAAGGAATAACAGTCTGGAAGTGTTGATAGTAACCATGGGTCTGAGAGAGAACACAGCCACCACCTGAGAGTGCGGTGGGTGGCGCAGACAAAGTTTGGTGGGTGCCAGATGGTGGGTGCAATGGTCCCACCACCTGTTTTTGTGAATATGGTTGCACTGCAGCAAACCCCACTTTCTCGCTGCAGTGCTGATGGGGAAGAGTTGCCGGGGGCCGTGTGGCCACGGAGCCTAAAACGTATCCGGTCTGGTCCCTGGCACACCGAGCTCTGGCCGGGAACCTCGAGACAGCTGCTCTGGGGCATCCGGAGATGGTGACATCCGTCATCCTTATGTGATCAGGAAACCGAGGGCTTGAGAAGGGCCTAGAGACTGTCTGAGTTGGGGTCCAGTGACGGAATCACTCGTTCATTCACGCCTTCAGCATTCCGCGGGCACCCACCCCGGGCTCCGCGTTGGCCTGGGGGGTAAGACTCTGCACGGCTGCCCCAGGGGTGGCCCAGGCCCTGGGAAAGGCGCAGCAGGGAGTGTGGCCAGAGGCAGCGGGGTTGCAGATGCAGGTCACTGCGCTGTACACCTGACACACCAGCGCGTGCCGGTGCATGTCACTGGTCAGCGCAGAAAGGGGAATGAACGCTCGTCAGGGAGGAGCACGGACGGTCCACAGGGAACAAGAGGACTCCACGAGGTCCTGGGAAAATAAGGATGGGCTGCGGTGGCCTTGCTGTGGGGAAGGCAGGGGAGGCGACCTGAGCTGCCTGGGGACCCGCGGGCGGGAGGGGCGTGCGCTGCCCCGACTGTGGGGCAGGATCTTCACGGGCTCTGGTCAAAACAGACACTTTTACTCCAAAATCCGTAGAAAGTTCCAGTATGCTTTTAATTGTGGGAGTGGCGTGACCGGGAGCTGGGGGGTGGCGGGAGGAAGGGGGCGGGTGCCTGGGGATGAGTGGGTGGGACAGAGCTGGTGAGCACGTGGGGCAGAGGTGCAGCCGGGTGCGGGAACCCCCCATGTAGACTCCCCGTGGGTGGTGGCCTGGTTGTAGCTGTGCAGGTTGAAAGCCTTTATTGTAAACGGGAACATCGCTTCCTTGGTGTGGCGGTCAGCAGCCTTACCAGGTCCCAAGAGGAGCCTTTGTTGTTTAAAATGCACGTTCCCTGTCTTTTCCCTTGGAGATGCGACGTAGTAGCTGTAGGTGAGGACTGGGGATCCTCACCAGGATTTTTTAAGGCACAGGTGGGGAAATCTCTTTTGGAGGATAGCTATGACTGAGTAGTAATCTGTGTACCTAAAATCATATTTAAGTTAATTGAATTACAGAAAGCTTTTCGGCAGACTGATGTACTGAAAATTAAATTTGAGATTTTTTTTAATAGAATGCATCTTTTTAATTTTCTGTTATAATATGCATCTTTTTATTAATTTTCTGTTATATAATGATGCTTAAGGGATACCTCTTAAGGTGGCTCAGTGGTTGAGCGTCTGCCTTCAGCCCAGGGCGTGACCCTGGGGTCCTGGGATCGAGTCCCACGTCCCCGCAGGGAGCCTGCTTCTCCCTCTGCTTGTGTCCCTGCCTCTCTCTGTGTCTCTCCTGAATAAATGAAGTCTTTAAAAAAATAAAATAAAATACTGCTTGAAGTATCGGTCTAGATTGCAAGTTGGCAAACTTTTTTCTATGCAGAGCCAGATAGTAAATATTTTAGGCTTTGCAGGCCGCATGCAGTTTCCGGGACACATCCTCCTTCATGTGTGTGTGTGGGAGCTCATCTGTACACTTAAATCTTTAAAATGTAAAAACCATTTTAAGCTCCAAGGCCACGTAACAGCAGACAGAGGCCACATAGGGTTTGCCGACCCTGGATCTAGATCAAACTTTGTGCATTTGGTCTCTAAATCATGTCTTCTTTCTTCTCCCTTCTTAGCCGAGAGCCTGCAGGTTGCCGTGAAGGCCTCACAAGCAGGTGATACTCACCCGTCGCCTGAGGAGGGTTCTGCAGAACCTGCGGTGGCAGATGCACAGGGTCCTCCCGAGGAGCCAGGATCGTCTCCAGCCTGTAAGTGAAAGTTCGGGCCTCGCCCCTGAGCCTGAACACAACCCTTTGGAACACACAGTGGTTGTGTGAAATTCAGGCAACGGCTCTGTCCCTATTTGCAGGAGACTGGATGCATTTTTTTTTTTTAAATGAGAGAAAACCTGAGACCAGATAGGCTCTGGCCTGACTTACCTAGATCATGACTCTGGTGTTTCAAGCACGGAGATTCCAAGAACAGTCAGCTGGCGGGTCCACTGCTCTCTTACCCAGGCAAGCTTCGTTACCATCCCAACCCCGACCCTGCCTCATTTTTTTTTTATATATAAAACGTACGGAATAGTTTGGAATATGGTTTTGAAAGAATTTTTAAACTTTGGATTTATTTATTTTTTTAAAATGGGTCCCTGCAGTTCACTAAAGAGCAAGTCCTTTGGCTTAATCTCAGAGGCATCCACCGAGCCAACATAACCCAGAAAACTAGAATCTTAAAACATCCCCACAGACACGCAGTTGGGTGGTGTGATTAAAGGTAGAAGTGCCAGAAAATTCTTGATCTTTGTCATCATACATTTTAATTCACTAAAGGCACCGTGTCCAGAATATTTTAAAATACGGAAAAATGTCACGTAGGGAATTAGGTGACTTCTTGGAAGTATGAGCTGAATACTTAATTTCCTACAGGTTTCTGAGAGAAGAGCATAAAAGCATATTTTTCATTGTATTTGGGTGATAAAAACCTCAACTTCCACCAGCCTGTATTAGACACAAGACAAAACATCTTTATTAGCCAGGGATTGGAGGCTTAAGTGGTCTCTGAATCGCTTAAACAGCATCCCTGGGTCAACTGAGACACAAGGAGGCCGTGCAGTTTTAAGACTGTACTTTTTTGAGATGAGCTCTAATAATTATTTTGTCCTCTCAAATTCTGCTTTATCCAATCCCGCATTTGTATTTTCAGAAAGTGCACACATGTTTTTCGTTTTGACGCAGCCCAGACTCCTCAGGGGAGTTGTGCTGCCCTGGGTGATTTCCTTTTAAAAGAAGAAACGTGTTATGCCATCGAGAGAGGGAGTTCCTTCTATAAATACACCCCGGGGATCCGCTCCCTCCGCCTCACCCCGGGGACAGCTGGGGAGGCTCCGCTAGGCCCCTGCAGCTGCTCAGAGCACACGGCTGCACCTTCCCTCCCTCCAGACCAGGCAGCAAGGTTCTCCCCATCTATACCATGTCCCCCATGATCGGGAGAGACCCCAGGGACACCTGTGACTCGGGTCAAAACCATCAAGAGGCTGTTTGCAGTGCCCTGACCCCAGGATTCACGGACGGGCAGGGGCGGGTTGACATGGTCCTGTTCCCCGAAGGCCTCTTCCTTTCTGGGCTAACCCTGATGCCCCCAAGGGTTGGATTCTCTTATTAAGGTTAGTGGGGGCAAAAGACTAATATTCCTTAAATGAGAGTCTGTACCTGACTGGGCCAGTTCTTTAACTTTCAGGACTGGGTCCTTCTAAGTCAAGCCCAATATGGCAATATGAAGCCTCCCCTGCGTAATCCTCGGTGTTACCTGGTCAGGTGGATGAGTATAATCTAGTCCATCAAAAGTCCTGGAGATCTGAAACTGAATAAGGAACAGAGGGATCTGATCCCTTGGCTCACCATCAACTCCTTTGCCCGTTTGATGGTCCCCATTGCCATGGAGTGGGGAGGAGGGCAAGAGCAACAATGGCTAATGCTGTGGTGATGCCGTGGGTATCTCTCTGAGAAGTAAGTATAATACCCAGCAGCGGAACCGCATTTCGAGTGACAGAGACATTTTTTTTAATCAGATTTTTTTAAGATTTTATTTATTTATTCATGAAAGACAGAGAGAGAGAGAGAGAGGCAAAGACCCAGGCAAAGGGAGAAGCAGGCTCCATGCAGGGAACCTGATGTGGAACTCGATCCTGGGTCTCCAGGGTCACGCCCTGGGCTAAAGGCAGACACCAAACCGCTGAGCCACCCAGGGATCCCTAGATGCATTTCTATAAAAATGTCTCTTCACTGTAAGTGAGAACCGTTGACCGGCTTGGGCAGAATGGACCTGATTTTCAGCTGATAAAATCTGAAGCTGTTAACCATTTAAACAGAAAAGTTTTTTGTGATAGAAGTGGCCTTTGGAAGCCCTAGAGGACTTCCATGGGGAGAAGAAGTCTTCCCTCCATCAGAGATGGCACCGTGTGTCCCAGAGCGAGTGCTTGCTAGGGTCCTGTTTGAACGTGGTTCCAATAACAGTCTGGGTGTGAAAGTGCTTTGGGGAATCTAGTTTAAATCATCGTAAGGCGAGCGTAGCGAAAGACTTAACTGAGGTCACGTGGGCACAGAAGTAAAATCGCACCAGCAGAGATTTGACGATTTAAGCAGTAGAGATTAATTGATGTCTGGTACTTAAAAAAAATATTTCTGGACTAGAAATATCTCTGCATTTCACAGGTCAGACATACAGATTTCAAAAGTCGTTGTGGATCTAGAGGATGAGCAAGTATTGTGAGGGGGGAAAAACACTCGGACATCGTCTTTATAAAGCTATTTGGAGGTGGGGACGGGCTCCTCTTTGCAGGACTGAGAGCTCCTCCCAGATGAGCCATCTGGGCCCTGCTTAGAGGGGTGCTCGGGTCTCGTCGTTGGGTCTGTGTTCCTCTGCATGGTCGACCGCCCCTGCCCGGCCACCGGGGAGCCTTTCGCCGAGTCTCCATAGACCTGGCTCTGCCCGCCCTTGCTTGGGCCGCACGGTGTCTGTTTTCAGTGTCCTCCTCCCCACTGGCTTTTCCCTAGCTAGCAAGCGCGGGATGCAGCGTCTGCCCTCCCTGCATCACCAACATCATGGGGAGGCCCTGTCCGCAAGAAAGAAAAATGAAAAGATGGGCGATGCCACCCGCCAGCTTGGTATCGACTAGCGTGTAAGCTCCCCGAGGGCAGGGACTCCATGCTCTGCACCGCGTCCGCCCCTCGTGTGAGGCTGTGTCGTACACGTGATTTTGTGTCTCTTATCTTGAAATACGTGTCAGCTGTGTACGTGTACGAAATACGTGCACTGGCTGACGTTTGATGATGTCCTTTCTGTTTCTGTCTCGATGGCGTGCTTGCAGCACTAGTCACAGAAGGGACAGGAGGAAGAGGCTGTTGGGATGTGGATCCTGGCCCCCAGGGTGTGGGAACCGACTTGGCGGTCTCTGATGCAGGGGAGAAGGTATTGTGAACCAATTTGCTAGTAAATGGCACCCGTTGCTCTGTGTTGTGACGTGACCCCAGGCCCCGGTCTGTCCCGAGCCGCGAGGGGTCGGGAGCCTTCTCCGCAGCTGTTCTCCGTGTCTGTGCTCTGCTTTGGTCTTTCTAACCTTCAAGTCCCTCAAGATGTTCTCGCTCTTCCTGGATCATGTAGGTGTACGCCAAGAAACGGTTTAAAAGTCATTAAAAGGATTTTAAAACCCGAATGTGTGTGTGTCTGCGCACTCTTACTTCTGGTCTCGCTTCTGCTCCCGTCCCTGCAAGGCTCTGGCTTCCACCCGCTGCCCTTGGCCCCACTTGGGGACGTGGTCCCAGCGTCCAGCGGCGCTAAAGTGGCAGCAGCGGTGTTGTCCCGGGCCCCCGTGGCTGCTCCACCTTCTCTTACCTTCATTTCCCTGTCTCCACTCACATTGTCACCTGCTTTTTTTTTTTTTTAAGATTTTATTTATTTATTCATAGAGAGGCAGAGACCCAGGCAGAGGGAGAAGCAGGCTCCATGCAGGGAGCTTGATGCGGGACTTGATCCCGGGACTCCAGGATCATGGCCTGGGCTGAAGGCGGCACTAAACCACTGAGCCACCCGGGCTGCCCCCCCCCCCTTTTTTTTTTGTGACACTTTTAATCAACCTGACTGATTTTGGCTTGGGGCTAATAGGTTCCAAAACGCCTTTTTTTTTTTTTTGGACATAGTTTTCAAGTGACACTCACTTAAACACTAAATGCATGAAACTTCCTGTTCACTTCCAATGAAGCCAGGATGTCAGAAATTGGGAATGAGAATATGATCCTGGGAGGTGGCTGCTTGGCCTCCCCAGGCTTGGCTGGGTCTCAGGAGTTTCAGTTTTATCGAAAATCATATTAGGCACATTACCAGATACCAGTATGTGCTAACGTGGAAAAATGACATGCCGTCTATTTAGGAGATGACTTATATAGTATATGTTCATGCATATATTACATATGACTGAGACACCCGGTCCAAAGATTTTTTTTTTCTGGGGGGGGGTGATTTTCTTTCTTTTTTTTTATATAAATTTATTTTTTTTATTGGTGTTCAGTTTGCCAACATATAGAATAACACTCAGTCCAAAGATTTTTAAAAACCCAAAGCAAATGTGGCTGTGATTTAGTTTTGCTTTGTTTTTTTTTTTTAAAAAAAAAAAAACTTCATAGGCCAAGCTAAAAATAGGAATGCAATATTTTACTCTGCTTACTCTGACTGTAAGCTTTCTGACTTGTTGCTTCTTTAAAACATTCCTACTTTGGTCATCCCTTTCAGTGCAGACTTCATTTTTCGGTCTGAAACTTCCAGCTGCCTTTGTCCTAGAGGAAGGGAGGTGGGGAAGGAGGGCTGGTTACTTAGTAATAGTCTTTTCTTGAATGGAAATCCTGGCGGCTCCCACCCCTAAGGTCTTTTTTCTTCCATGATGGGGTCAAAGGTAAGTGAAATCTGAGAGGTGTGGGTTCCCGCCTACCTGGAAGAGTTTTAATAAGGCATTTGAGGAAATGAACTGACAGGGCAGGGATCACCTGAAATCAAACATTAAAAAAAAAAAAAAAGCATGTGATGGGTATTTTGTCATTAGCTTCCCCACTAAGCTAAGGTCTTAATTTTTTTTTCTTTTTTTTTTTTCTGAAAGAGTCTTAAAAATCTGTGCTGCAGCCGGCAAAGTCCCTGGGGTGTCAGTCACCATCACCAGCTGCAGCCCTGCATGGGCACCACAAGGGGGAGGGCCAGCTCCACGAAAAGTAGGACACTACACAGCTCAGGCTTGTATCAGGCTTCGTGGTTCTTGGGAGTAAGTAACCACGTGTGGCGTAATCCAACCCCTCTCTGTGTTTCTAATTTGTACAGAGCATAAAAATTCTACAGCATACGATTTTCTTATTACAAAGGTAATGAGGGACAGAACCACCAGGGCAGAGAGAACTCTAGAACTCGCTAGAGGATGGGGGGCCGTCCCCGGTATGGTGGAGGGGGGCCGTGGCTAGACTCTAGACTTCACGTCACTTTCCATCCTTTGTCCTTCCTGTGTAGGAGGTTCTGCTCAGTAAGGAAACCTTCTATGGGCGGTATGGGGAGGAGGGTGGGCAGGGAAGAAAGGAGCTGGCCATCTCCTCAAAGCATCACTGGCCTAAACTAATGGAACAAGCCCAGAGTTACCGGAGAACATGACCAGAGCTGTTTCTCATGGGTTCGATTTAAAGCTGCTCAGATATAGGCCACAGCATCCTGGGGACTACAGGCTCTAGGAAGGCAGGGAACCCGAAGGCCTCCCCAGCGGCAGGCAGCGAGCACGCAGCAGGTCCACACCGTTCGTCTATAGGACGGAGTGTGAGCGTCCGTCAGATGCTGGGTGTCCTTGTTAAATTTGCAGACACGGCATTAAACACACGTAAGAAGTCCTGCTACTCATTGGCGTCCATCCCAGTGAAAGAAGACAGGCAATAAATGAATAGACAAGTGTTCGATTCAATTCTGGAAACTGGAAATCCTCACTGTCCACATGTGTCTCTAGTGTGTGCACCAGGGAGACAAAGAATGAAACCTAGACCCCCTCCCCCCGGAGCAGATGGTCTCCAGCGTCGCTCAAGGCCTCTGCTGGTAGAGCTTTTCCTAAAGGCAATCACAGATGCGTCCAGTGGCCTCAGAGTAGGATCCAGGAGGGCAGGCCAGCGAAGTGCTGGCCCCTGGGCCACCCCTGGGTCTGGGTTTCCTCTCCTGACCACTGGCTCTTTGGGCTTTGTGAATCTTGGACCCGGAGATGGGAGCTAGAAGGTCAGGCACGGTGTTCTCTGGCTTCCAAATCTGGCCTCCAGGATGTAGGGAGCCAACCTGGCCTGGGGGCCAACTTCACTCTGGTCACAGAGAGCACAGTTGACAGTGTGGTTTCCACAAGGTAAATATTGTCACTTGCTGAGAGAGTGCAGAGCTTCCCCACTGTCATCCCGTGTTGTTTTTTAAATGGATGTTTGAGTGAAAAGTTACCCTGCTTCTCAAATACAGAGTTTGCACAGATGGAGGCTCTCCGGGGGTGGGGGTGGGTGTTTAATTCTGTAGGCTTTGCTTTCTGGAGGGAAAGAGGGTCTATAGAAGAGTTTTGAGGCAGTGAATTGATGTACCTGAGGTCGTACGTTTTGGAACACTAGGTGCGGTTTTTCGAAAGTAGAACCGTTATTCATTTTCTTCTTTTTTTACGTATTTTAGGTGGAATATAGAAGTTTCACGGTTTCTTCACAGTCAGAGGTGAGCTATATACACTTGAAATATATCATCATCCTCTCTTTATTTTTGAATAACAAATGCTTTTTCAAGAATTTGACTCTTACAACCTTATCTTCCAGATTATACAAGCGATCCAGAATTTAACCCGACTCCTCTATAGCCTTCAGGTAATTGTGCTCCTCTAATCTTTTTTTTTAATATTTTATTTATTTATTCAAGACAGAGAGAGAGAGGCAGAGACATGGGCAGAGGGAGAAGCAGGCTCCATGCAGGGAGCCTGATGCAGGACTCGATCCCGGGACTCCAGGATCATGCCCTGGGCTGCAGGTGGCACTAAACCGCTGGGCCATCAGGGCTGCCTTTTTTTTAATATTTTAGCTCCTCTAATCTTTGACCTTGTGAATGTTTCTTGTAATGCAATTAATTTTATTAGATGATTCCCAGACATTAAAAATTAGAGCATTTGAGAAGTAGCGAATGATCTTAAAAGAATGCCAGTTCCCAAAGCGTAACCCCGCTAGTTGCCTAGAACTTCACCTGGTATTGTAATCACCAGGCAACATGACAACTTTTTATACCATTCTTCTCTGAAACCATAAAACAGTTCATATCTTTAAAAAATATTAATGACTATGATTTGGCTTGAAGTTTACAGTGAAGCTCTTAGGTGACTATAGCATGACTTCACATTTTCTGGTGAAAACTTAAATTCACACCTGAACTTTCACTTTCTCATATGGACTTGGGCCTTTAGGGCAGTAAAGTAATTCATGTGTTCCTTCATTTTTTTGTTTGTTCATCCGCCCAACATTTATTGAGCACGCTCTCCATGCTGGGCGCTATGCTGAGGGCTGAGCACAGAAAGGCCGATGGGCTACAATGCCTACCATTGAATGGCTCACTCTCTTTCAAGGAAAGACAGGCATAAAAGTTGCGCTTGCGTTTAGGATTACAGGGTTGGATGATCCTTTAATTCATGCACAAGAAAGGCCAAATACGTGAATTGCTCAACTTATAGATTAAAAACATTTTAATACTATCAAAGCAGTATTAGTGTTAAATATAAATTGGTAGGAAAATTTGAGGATGTAAGTAAATATAACAGCTGGTGATTCTACAGAGAGAATTACTATTGTTATGTTGGTATATGTCCCAGTTGTTTTTTTTTTTTTAAGATTTCACTTATTTTTTATTTTTTTAAAAATATTTTATTTATTTATTCATGAGAGGGGCGGGTGGGGCAGAGACACAGGCAGAGGGAGAAGCAGGCTCCCTGCAGGGATCCCGACTCGGGACTCAATCCTGGGACTCCAGGATCACGCCCTGGGCTGAAGGTGGTATTAAACCTCTGAGCCACCCGGGCTGCCCTATTTATTTTAGAGAGAACTTGAGTGAGGGGAGGGGCAAAAGAGATGGAAAGAGAGATTCTCAAGCAGACTCCACACCAAGTGTGGAGCGCAATGTGAGGCTTGATCCCACGACCCTGAGATCATGACTTGAGCCGAAATCAAGACTGGATGCTGAACCACCTGAGCCGCCCAGGGGCTCCTCCCTCCAGTTTTTTATAATCCTTTTATATACACTCTAACAATGTACTTTTGTACATGTTCAGCTATTACTCTGGCACGATTTTTGGTGGCTGTATACTATTCGAGTCTGTGGAACTTACCGAGTTCTTCAAAACTACACCTCTGTATTAAGTCCGTTAGATATTCCTGTACACTAATCTCTTTGAACATAGCTGAGTGTTTCCTTGGGATAAGTCACTAGAATTATTATTTTTTTTAGATTTTTAATAGATATTACCCAAATAATCAAACTCATCAACATCCCTCTCTCTTCCTCAATTTGAAAATAGGTCAAGGTATCCAATTACCTTAATTTTCATTTCTGTGGTTACTGTCGAAACTAAACTCCTCCCCCTCCCATAATGGTTTATTAGCCATTCATACTCCATCTCTTATACTTCTTGGATATTAAAAAAAAATAAAGTCTGACTTTAAGTTTTCACCAGAAAACACTGTAAAGTCATGCTACATTTGATATTTTCTTATTTATACTTTGCATCAAGACTTCTTTTTTTATGCTTTATTGATCATCTGCCTATTGCTCTCATACAAGTATCTTAAAAAATAAAGTTTTTTATTATATTTGAATATAGGGCAGTGATAATCTCCTCTTAATCTTTTTCTATGCTTATTTCTATATTCTTAAGAGATTTCAATCACTCTGACAGGGTTCTTACCTTCCTATTAGGACTGATAAATTAAAATTTCCTATTTATGAATGAAATTGGAGAGAATTGTCACTTTTGCAGTAATTAGTCCTCTTGTTGGAGAACATGCTGTTGGTCATCTCTTAGGTAAAAGGAAGCTGTTTTGGTTAAACAGTTCTATTCTTTGGACTATTCCTGATAGAAAGTTAAAATTTGAAAGTAGTGATATTATGGCTAGTCTTCAATACTTACATCAATTTGATTTTCTTGGCTTTTACTTCGTCTTACTTCTGGAAACATATTAAGTAATTGTGGCAGTAGCAAGCATCCTTGTCTTGTACAAGATCTAACAGGAATACCTTTGATGTCTGACATTAAACATGCTGGCCTGGGATAGATGTTCTTAGAGTTGATTTATCATAGGATCAAACATTCTTTCTTTTACATTTTAACTGAGAAATGGGTATTGTATAGTTTGAGCATAGTTCATTAACTTTTGGGAGATGAAAACATTGATTATCCCAGCTTGTGTTGCCTGATGAAAACACTCACAGGTCGTGTCTCTTCAGTGTTGAATGCCATGCTTTGTGGACGCAGGGTTCAGAAAAGCTCCCCTAAATGACCTAATTTTTGCAACACATGAGATTGAAGGGAGGTATCGAATTCTACAGTAGATTCTCTTAACCATGACTTTTGAGCTGGTATGAGGACATGGGCTCTAGAAGATGTCTTTTCATGGAGTATTCATCCCTTTTGAAGCTGAATCTCTTATTTTTAACGTGTTTTTTAAATTATTTTTTATTGGAGTTTAGTTTGCCAACATATAGCATAACCCCCAGTGCTCATCCCATCCAGTGTCCTCCTCAGTGTCCGTCACCCAGTCACCCCAACCCCCCACCCACCTCCCTTTCCACTACCCCTTGTTCATTTCCTAGAGTCTCTCATGTTCCGTCACCCTCTCTGATATTTCCCACTCATTTTCTCTCCTTTCCCCTTTATTCCCTTTCACTATTTTTTATATTCCCCAAATGAATGAGACCATATAATGTTTGTCCTTCTCTGATTGACTTATTTCACTCAGCATAATGCCCTGCCCTGCAATTCTATCCACATTGAAGCAAATGATGGGTATTTGTCGTTTCTAATGGCTGAGGAATATTCCATTGTATACATAGACCACATCTTCTTTATCCATTCATCTTTCGACGGACACCGAGGCTCCTTCCACAGTTTGGCTATTGTGGACATTGCTGCTGTGAACATCGGGGTGCAGGTGTCCTGGCGTTTCATTGCATCTGTATCTTTAGGGTAAATCCCCAGCAGCGCAATTGCTGGGTCGTAGGGCAGATCTATTTTTAACTCTTTGAGGAACCTCCACACAGTTTTCCAGAGTGGCTGCACCAGTTCACATTCCCACCAACAGTGCAGGAGGGTTCCCCTTTCTCCACATCCTCTCCAACATTTGCTGTTTCCTGCCTTGTTAATTTTCCCCATTCTCACTGGTGTGAGGTGGTATCTCATTGTGGTTTTGATCTGTATTTCCCTGATGGCAAGTGATGTGGAGCATGTTCTCATGTGCTTGTTGGCCATGTCTATGTCTTCCTCCGTGAGATTTCTGTTCATGTCTTCTGCCCATTTCATGATTGGATTATTTGTTTCTTTGCTGTTTGAGTTTAATAAGTTCTTTATAGATCTTGGAAACTAGCCCTTTACCTGATACGTCATTTGCAAATATCATCTCCCATCTGTAGGTTGTCTTTTAGTTTTGTTGACTGTTTCTTTTGCTGTGCAGAAGCTTTTTATCCTGATGAAGTCCCAATAGTTCATTTTTGCTTTTGTTTCTCTTGCCTTCATGGATGTATCTTGCAAGAAGTTGCTGTGGCCGAGTTCAAAAAGGGTGTTGCCTGTGTTCTCCTCTAGGATTTTGATGGAATCTTGTCTCACATTTAGATCTTTCATCCATTTTGAGTGTATCTTTGTGTCTGGTGTCAGAGAATGGTCCAGTTTCATTCTTCATTGGGTGTCCAATTTTCCCAGCACCATTTATTGAAGAGACTGTCCTTTATCCAGTGGATAGTCTTTCCTCCTTTGTCGAATATTAGTTGACCGTAGAGTTGAGGGCCCAATTCTGGATTCTCTATTCTGTTCCATTGATCTCTGTGTCTGTATTTGTGCCAGTACCACACTGTCTTGATGACCACAGCTTTGTAGTACAACCTGAAATCCGGCATTGTGATGCCCCTGGATCTGGTTTTCTTTTTCCATATTCCCCTGGCTACTTGGGGTCTTTTCTGATTCCACACAAATCTTAGGATGATTTGTTCCAACTCTCTGAAGAAAGTCCATGGTATTTTGATAGGGATTGCACTGAATGTGTACATTGCCCTGGGTAGCATGGACATTTTCACAATATTAATTCCTCCAATCCATGAGGATGGAATATTTTTCCATCTCTTTGTGTCTTCTCCATTTCTTTCAGAAGTGTTCTGTAGTTTTTAGGGTATAGATCCTTTACCTCTTTGGTTAGGTTAATTCCTAGGTATCTTATGCTTTTGGGTGCAATTGTAAATGGGATTGACTCCTTAATTTCTCTTTCTTCAGTCTCATTGTTAGTGTATAGAAATGCCACTGACTTCTGGGCATTGATTTTGTATCCTGCCACACTGCTGAATTATTATATGAGTTCTAGCAATCTTGGGGTGGAGCCTTTTGGGTTTTCTATGTACAGTATCATATCATCTGTGAAGAGGTAGAGCTTGACTTCTTCTTTGCCAATTTGAATGCCTTTTATTTCTTTTTGTTGCCTGATTGCTGAGGCTAGGACTTCTAGTACTATGTTGAATAGCAGTGGTGAGAGTGGACATCCCTGTCTTGTTCCTGATCTTAGGGGAAAGGCTCTCAGTGTTTCCCCATTGAGAATGAATGATATTTGCTGTAGGCTTTTCATAGATGGCTTTTAAAATGCTGAGGAATGTTCCCTCTATGCCTACACTCTGAAGAGTTTTGATCAGGAATGAATGAAGCTGAATCTCTTATACACGACTACAGTTTTTACATAAGCATTTTCAAATCGATGAAAATGAAATTTGATCCCTGTATGAGGAGAGCAGAGATAGAGATGAGGTGTATGGGGAAGGTGGAAAGGAGAAGACAAAAGTTGAGAGAGCAAATTGTGAGTTTTCCTAAATTTGAAAAGCAAGTGCCATTCTCTTTCCTAAATATAAGTACCAAGGGTAAGTAAGTATGGAAATGAATATCCCATCTTGAGTCTGTGTCTATGCAGTCTCATCTCACATGTTAGGTAGACATGAAGAATGCTTCGTGGTGGCACTTGATTGGCCTCTTGTAAACTTTTCATGAGTGTTGTCTTTTCCCATGGTAGTTTTGGTATACAGAATGCTGGATTTTTGTTTGTTTTGCTGTACCAACGCCCTTGAAACTTATTAGAATTAATAAATGTTTAGTCTACAGTTTGCTCTAGCCAAGTCAGAGTCCTGAATGGTTTATTATTTATGTGCCAATTATTTCATATTTAAAGATAATTAGTATCTATTCTCAATGATAGTCACTGTTCTCCATAACTGCTAAAAGACCTTAATTCATGTGGATTTTGAAACTTCTGAAAGTAAGTTTTCAAATTTAAAGGCAGGAATTTTATTTCAAGAGGCTCCCACAAATACGTTTTGGTATCTTATTCCATGACAAGTACCAATTTAAAATTTACTTGAGTTCTTTAACCTTCAGAAATACAGGGAACTGTTGATCTAACAAAGAACTACTAGGGAAATCCCCATCTTCCCAGCATCTGTTACATGGATAGTTTTAAAAATTCTTAGGAAAGAAAAATGTGAATTTATCCCTAGGAGAGTAATAATTTCTCATAACGAGTCCAAACGCACATACGTACCCAGTATGTGGCCATTTTTAATTTGTCCCTTTTGTGCATCTTTGTGCTTCAAATGGGAACCTACAAAATGAAAAGCTTCCAAGAGCATTCACAGAGATTTTTTTTTTTTTTGGTTTTGTGGAATCCTTCCAAATCTTGGCAATTATTTCCTATGATGCTGCCAAACTTTTCATAGGCAGATACCGTAACTCCAAATGTTTTTTTAATCTGGTTGGTAATGTCCTCTGGGCTTTAGAGTATCTATGTTCCCTTAATCATTCCAGCCTCCTGTTAGCAATCTATTAAACAAATGAATTTCAGCTTAGGATTTTATGTATGACCTTCCTGCTATGATACAAAGAAACAGCAGTAACAAGATCGCTTTACCACTTACATATCTCCTAAGTAGGAAATTAACGGCTATCCTTGGGTATTATATTATAAAAAGATTATTTACCAAAAGTCTCCAAGTGGTTGACTGTTATTCTTACGTTTTTGTGTATGTTATGTAGCTTAAGTAATTTCTGGTTTGGGACTCCAAGAAAGGATACTACCAAGCTTATGTAGAATCTTAAGTTCTCATGAATTATTGAGTGGAGAGACCTCAGAGAATGAGACATGGGAGAGGAATGCAGTCTTGTGAATTTATGTACTGAATTCTTATTCAAAAGACCTGCTTAGATATTACGCAACAACTAGCAAAAGAAAAAACCCCACATTTCCAAAAGAGGGGATGAGTGTTGCTTTTGTGCTTTTTTGCTTTTATATATTCACTCCCGAGCCACACTGGGAAGGCGTCCTAGGGAAAGGGGCTGAGCGCAGCCGGAGGGCCGAGGCCAGCCTCTGGAGATCCCGGAGGAGGAGGAGGACGGAGCCACCCCGCGGCACCCATCCGGTCCCTCGGTGGGAGGCGTCCAGGGGTGGCCCCGCAGCCACGGTGGTGTCCCTCTCGCCCCGCAGGCTGCTCTGACCATCCAGGACAGCCACATCCAGGTGCACAGGCTGCTGCTGCAGCAGGCCGGCCGGCCGGCGTCCCAGGAAGAGCGCAGCGAGCTGGCGAGGCAGCGGGAGGAGCTGGCTGCCCTGCCCGGGCTCCAGTGGCAGCTGCAGCAGGAGCGGCGGCACGGCCAGCGCACCTGGGAGCGGCAGCAGCGCGAGCAGGAGGCCAGGGCCTGCCGGCTGCGGGAGCGCGAGCGGGGCTGCCACGGCCGCGAGGAGCTGCTGCTCAGGGCCCGCGGGGAGCTGGACCGGCAGCTGCGGGAGCACCGGCAGGACCTGGAGCGGCTGCGGGAGGGCCAGCGCCTGGTGGAGAGGGCAAGGGCCCGCATGCACGCCCAGCACAGCCTGCTGCGTGGCCCGAGGCCCGGGCGCCAGTGCAGCCTGCCCACGGCCTTGCCTCCGGGCAGCGGCGAGGTACGGCCAGGCGCCTCGGGGACAGCCGGGGACAGCTGGGGACGCTGCCCGGCACGTGCCTTCGTGCCACTGCCAGGCGCCCCCGGGGGACCACGTGCGGGGGGCCCGACCCGGACCTGGCCGTTACCAGCACGTGCATCTTAGTTGCAGGGGGCGTTAAGAAGCTGGGTCTGCTGGGTCAGGGGCTGGCTGCACTCGGAGGCTCTGCCCCAAGGGATGGGGCGCGGGGGGTGACCTCCAGCGAGGCCCAGCTGCCTCCCTGTGAGCACACCTCTCTCGCACCAGAGGGGCGACAGCTTCACTTGTGCCAGTCGTCAGTTTGGGATACACGTACCCTTTGGCAGGTCAATGAGCTATTTTTTTTTTAATATTTTATTTATTTATCCACTAGAGACACACAGAGAGAGGCAGAGACACAGGCAGAGGGAGAAGCAGGCTCCATGCAGGGAGCCCGATGTGGGACTCGACCCCAGGACCCTGGGGTCACGACCTGGGCCATAGGCAGATGCTCAACCATCGAGCTGCCCTGGCGTCCCAGGTCAATGAGCTGTTAATGTGCATCTGTAGGTACTGAATTTAGCAAGTACAACTCTGTTGTACTCTGTTAACTAACCATAGTTGACATGAGTGTCCTAGTTAGAGGCTGGGTGGGACATTAAAACCTTTCTAAAGATTGTGTTCCACTTGTATCCCTTCTTTTCACGTTTGACAGTTCCACGCACCCCAGGAGTTTACTTTGCTGCACTGTGAGAACATAGATGCTTTTTCCTGATAACACGTAAAGTTGTAAAACTTGATAAGATGATAAGGAAGATCTGCGTTGTATCAGATTTTCCTTTCGAGTTGGCTAAATTTCATTTATTGCAAATACCTCATGCCTATATTTTCAGCATTTTATGTAGCAAAAATGAAAATGCTGCTTTCAAAGTGGAAACACTTTAGTGGTACAGAGCACGACTCCTAGGTTTTGGGATGGTTTTCTTTTTTGGCTTTTGTTTTGTTTTTAAAGATAAGCTAGACACAGCGAGTTGAAGTTTTGGTGCTAGCTCATTAAAAGGGGAGGAGTATGATACTCTTATTAGAAATCTTGATTGCTGAAACTATTAGAAACAAATACTTTATAAAACTGGCACAAGTGGCTGGAGAAATTATTGTATTTTTTTTCTGTATTTTCTTATACAGGTGATGGAACTTAATCGATCCGAGAGCTTGTATCATGAAAATTCATTCTTCATTAATGAAGCTTTAGTACAAATGTCACTTAACACTTACAACAAATCAACTCCATCAGGTGTCCACCAGGAAGCCGCTTATCCCCAGAATATAGCTAATTTGGACTTGGTAAGGACTAGTGAAAGTCCCGTAGACCTCCAGTTGGACATTTCTCAGCCCTTGGATGTCAACCACGAACAGTGGACAGCCGCTGGGTCCTGTCATCAGATACCCCCTCTCCACGAAAGCAGCAAGGATTCTTGTAAAAATGGTAATTAACACTTTACACATCATCTGTGTAGTTTCAGCAAGAAGCTGTTTCTCTGAATGGTTGGCTCTTCTTCGGAGCAAATCAAAGCGAGTCCTAGAATGGGAATAAATCGGTTCTCGTGAGCTGGAGTTTGTGGCATCAAGTTCTTCGGTGAAGTCTGGGGCCGTCTTCTAGGAAAGTCAGAAAACGTGGTTAGAGGGTTTGGGGGTGCCACCAAGATATTAGAACCAGATGGGGTTTTCTGTGGGTTAATCTGTGGGTTAAATGATAAATATCAAATTGCTTCACTTTTAAGGGAAGGTTATTCCTTTTTGTAGACTCTACTGCATTCTGACGGGCATACTTGTTGGCTCTCAGAAATAAAGGATAGAGACAGGATTTATAGTAGGACTTTATTGTCTATCAGGGCAATTTCCTTTAATGTTGGTGAAGCTCTCCTGCTATTACACACCCCAATGTGAAGCCATTAACATCATTTGTCATGGTAAAAACAAACAAAAAAAGGTGTTGTATCGCCATAAGTACCTCATAATAACCCAATTTGCTAATCCCATTAAAGCATTTGCCAAATATAAATGAAAGGCAGCTCAAGTTACCAAGGCCACATGAATCTAAGTGATTTAAATCTATGTCTATTATAAATTGTTTTCTGTGGGATATGAAGTAGGGAATGAGAAGAACTTGAAACCTCTCTACCGAAAAACAGATGGCATGCAATAGAATAAACAAATGGCCGGCCACATGGATGTGAAATAAATCACTGACAGCAAAATCTTTCAGAAACATAAAACAAGCCGTAGTATAGAGCTCTTCGGAACTTGACGCAGATTTGTTTCCATGCTTCATATATAGTCTTCGTTGGTCACTGGGATGATCTTTTAGCAACAGAAAGTTTTGAAGGGTACTCAGCTTCTCCGGATTAGGGAGCAGTAATTCTGACATTGCCTGAGAGTTGATATATGACTGATCTAAAAGATGTGAATTCTTGGTAGTGGATGATTCTTTGCATTACTTAGTCCCTGCAGTTAATGTTCTTACCTCTTGTCAGCACATAGGAGAGAATGAAATCACTCTTCAAAGCATCATTTCAAATAATCCTTCAATTAAAAAAAATAATAAAATGGGATGGCTCATCAAGATTTTAAAAAAAAACAGCAAAATTTAGAGAACGCAACCCTTTTATTATCTTGCAACTTTAGTACTGTGGAGACCACACCGTAGAATGCTTTTTCTAGGTACGTGTTGATTTGCTGTGTTGATTCATTAAGCTGCTCTTTACAGTGTGTGTGTGTGTGTGTGTTTTTTTTATGTTTTCGTCCATGTGGTTTTGCATACTGGCTTTGGTAGAATTCAAAAACTCAGTTTGAGCTAAACCACACATTCAGCTTTTGTTTAAAAGAACCACCTCCCTCTTTTTGTATATCTCCCATCTTCTTCTATTGTGCTTCAAAGTATAAAGCTTTTAAGCATTTGGCAGCACTCTTGCAGGAGATAGAAAACGTACTAAGGAAATAAACAGTGATTCTATCCAAAACCAGTCTCGCCACATGTAAGAAATTAGAGACCGCCAAGGGAAATGCTGGGAAAATGTACTTACGCTTCAGTTATTGTGTGTCCAGTGTAGGCCAAGGACACTGAGGACATTGGCAGAGGCGAGGAAAATCGACTTTGGCCTAAACCTCCCAGGAACATCCTGGTGTGTGTAAGTAGGGATTAGATCAGGACGCAACGTGCGCCGGTGAGCGCAGGAGGTTGGCAACTAGTCCGAAAACCCTGTTTGTGTTTGTTTGCTCTAAAGGTGGCAGCTGTTTCTGGAGGAGAGGCTAGAAGGAGATGGGGAGGTGAGAGGGAAGGGGAGTGCAAGTGGGCCCGCACCTTCGGAGGGTTGTCGGGGATGCAGGCGCTCAAACTGCTCTGGGGCCTTCACAGCTTTTATTTTATTTATTTTTTTAATAATAAATTTATTTTTTATTCGTATTCAATTTGCCAACATACAGAGTAACACCCAGTGCTCATCTTGTCAAGTGCCCTGCTCTTGCTCTCCGCCCCTGCCTCCCTCCCAGAGGGCTGCCCTTTGGAAGGTATTTCTAAAGACTTGGGACTCTGGTGGCCATGGCTTGCATGGCTTCTGAGCATCCTTCAGCCTGAATACCCTTTCGCTCCACTTTTTCCCCTGTAAGGCACGTTCTCTGAAATAGAACTTTTCTGTCTTATGTCACCTAAGAATCACCCCGTGTCATTTGTAGATATTTTTTAAGGTAGCACTTTATATTTTTTATATTTTTTTAACAAGATAGGGAAGCTCTTTTTTTTAAGATTTTATTTATTTATTCATGACAGAGAGAGAGAGAGAGAGAGAGGGAGGCAGAGACCCAGGCAGAGGGAGATGCAGGCTCCACGCAGGGAGCCCGATGCGGGACTCGATCCTGGGACTCCAGGATCATGCCCTGGGCCGAAGGCAGGCGCTAAACTGCTGAGCCACCCAGGGATCCCAAGGTAGCACTTTAAAGAACTCTACTCTTCACTTTTGGAAGTTGCTTCATGAACACAGATCTTGGGTGTTTGCACATTAAATCCCAACTGGTGTTTGATTTTATTTCCGGTGGAAGAGAGGGTTGATTTTGAGAACTTAATCTATATTTCTCTGAGGGGTATGGACTCTAAGACCACAAGACTACAGAAAATTTGAATTTCTTTAAACAGTATAGTGCCTGTAGGACAATTGCAAAGTAACGGGACCCACGAAATGCTCAGCTTTATTACTCTTCTTAAAAGCAAAACAAATACTTTGTTTTTGTGATTTTTTTTCTCGCCCTCTTAGCTTTAGAATTCTGGAACTATTTGTACAGTTCACTAGTCTGTATATGACCTTTCCTTTAAACACCAGACAAGACACTTTATGGTGTGGAAATGAGTCTGAAATCTTCTTAGTCTCCCTTTTCAGTTACATTTTTTTTTTATCTGTACCTCAATATTTGAAGGTTGCCTAAAAAGTTCCTCTTCAAAGTAGTTAAAGCATTATGGTTTTGCCATGCATATGATAAAATTTAAATCAAGAGCCAAATTTTATGTGTTAGTCATGTAGCTATTGGCAGGAGAATAATTTTATTAAGTTTGGATTCCAAAAGAGTGTTGAGTGTTTCCCTTTAGTACATATTAGGATTTGGTGCCCATCAAAATATTGTCCAAATTCAAGGCATTGTATTCAGAATATTTCATCTTGGCAGTGGGTTTTTTTTTTAAATACAGACAGCTGTGTTAAAATTTCATTGACGTGTTTTTTACATATGGAAAGAAAATAGAAAATTTCCAAATAAAAAGCCACGGTATAGTTAGTATTTAAGTAACAGTTTTTAAGCAGAGACTATATGGTGATTTCTAATGTTTAAAAAATATTCCATAATTCAGGAATGGGCACCTTATTTGTGTAATCTGTGTAGAAGGAAGCTTTGCCAAGGACCTTCAGGCAATTTCTCACAAAAGTGAAACTGGCCTTGGATACCATAAACATCAAGGACAAAGTGTATTTGAAAACAGGGATGTATTAGTTTCCTGGGGCTGCCATAATAAAGGACCACAGACTGGGAGGATTTAACAACAGAAATTTATTTCCTTGCAGTTCTATAAAATGCAAGTCTTGAGATAAAGGTGTTGGCAGGGTTGGTTTTGCTGGGGGCCTCTCCCCTTGGTTTGTAGACGGTGGTCTTCTCCCTGTCTTTGCATCGGCTTCTCCCGTCCGTGTCCTAACACCCTCTTCTTTTTTTTTTAAGATTTATTTATTTATTCATGAGAGACAGAGGCAGAGACCCAGGCAGAGGGAGAAGCAGGCTCCCTGTGGGGAGCCCGGTGGGGGACTTGATCCCAGGACCCTGGGGTCACGCCCTGAGCTGAAGGCAGATGCTCCACACTGAGCCACCCAGGTGTCCCCCTAACATCCTCTTCTTGTAAGGACACCATTCATATTGGGCTAGGGTCCACCCTAATGACCTCACTTCATCACCTCTTTGAAGGCTCTATCTCCAAACACATTTTGAGGTAATGGGGATTAGGAGTCGAATATATGCATTTGGCAGGGGACAAAGTTTAGCCCTTAACACAGGATAAAATCATGAAAGCTTTAAATTTTTTTAATGTGCCAAAGTTGAACTGTAATTGAACTACATTGCAAGTCTTTCTTGCTTGGTTACAGAAGTGAGCTGAACTTTTAGAATAGTGATAAATAATCTGTATCTGCTTATTGATATGTTATCAATCCTGTGTGTCAACACACAGAGAGTGGGGTGGAACAGACTGTGTCTGTAGATTCGTTAGGTCTTACTTCCAAATCTAGGCCCTAATTGAGGAGCGTTGATAATTTTGAGCTCTCTCCAAATGGGAGGGATATTAGATGCCTTATTTTGAGTTGCTTAAATGAACTAAATACTGAAAGGTTGAGAACATTCACTATGACATCAACTTGCTGTCCAGATATATCTATTGGGAAGTAACTGGGCAACTCTTTTTCCTATGGAATTTTGACTATCACTTTGGGAACATTTTTAAGGAAATCATAGTACTACTTGCTCTCGGTAATCCACGTCACGGCAAGACTAGAAAGAATTGGGCTCAGAGGCTTAATTTTAAATCTTTCTCACTGACAAATGTAGATGATTGACTTTCGCCTTTTGCAGATTTTGTACCAGGAAAGGGAAACATGCCATTTGCTTGTAGGGCCTGGTGAGCCCCCGGTGCTGACTGCCAACTTCCTGATTGCATAGTTCTCTGGGGGCAGGTTGACTGTGTGAGCCAACTGGGCCGGGGCCATCCCGCCTTAGCACATAGAGCCCAGTACACAGCAAGAGAGTAAAACCAGCAGGTGGGTGGATTCAGAGGCAGCCAGCCAGCCATGTGGTTGCCTGTTCGTTCCCACCCTGGGTTCCAATTTGGTCTCAACAAGCTGCTGAAGTGAGAGTCCATTCGGTATGAATGATTCCAGAGGTTAGGGCTGGCCTTGAGTCATC